CCNGCAGTTTCTTAAATCATCAGCAGGAGAGGCCACATCGTCTGCCCGCATGAACTTCACGTCGTCCTGCAGCCAGAACACTCCATCTTTGGACAGTTTCTTTGGGGCAAATTATTTTTCGATGACGATGATGATTATGATGCTTGTTGTGATGGTAATAATGATGGATGGGGCTGGTTGTAATGGGAACAATATACACATATAATTATTTATAATATCGCTAATAATAACAACATTGATGGAAACTGATTGCTAGTCAAATAAAGAAAATATCTCTGATTAGCAATGCAACGTGAAATCAATCAGTAGAAATATTGTTTGTGTTCATTTGTTACAGCGGTCTTTCACCATTGTGGATTTGGCCTGAAAACTTTTTAATTATGTTGTGTGCATAATTAAAAATGAATGCGTTAATAAAATTAATGATTGTTAAGTCGTTTATAAAAATTTAGCACTGACGATTTCATTGACTCCGACATCTCCATCCACACGAACACGGATAGGGAGCGGAGAATCATTGGGAAATACAATCACATCGTTGGCGCATGGAATGTTGCCTGAATCCCAGTTGTCAGCATTCTTCCATGAGCTCCTGTACTTCCATATGTATTCATGTCCCTGTCTTGGTGCTGTGTATATATATACACATACATACACACACACACACACACATATATATATATATATATATATATATGTGTGTGTGTGTGTGTGTGTGTGTATGTGTGTGTGTGTATGTGTATGTTGGAAGGAGACCATATTTTATATATATATATATACATATATAAATATATAACAAAAAATTGTATGTAACATGAAAATAATCCATTTTATGCTTTCTTCAATAAACAATTTAACTTATGTTGTTAACAAAAAATCATTTAATAACAGGTAAGTAACAGTTCATTGTAATGAAAACTATGAAAATTAATTTTGTCGAATCAACTTTAAGACGCTTTATATTAATTCGTTTGAAAATTCAACAAATTTTGCAAAATTATTACTATATTCATTATGAAATTTTAACAAACCTATGAGCAGTATGAAGTACGTTGTTAGTTGCAAACATCCGAACGGAAACTTATTCATCATAAATAGCAATTCACTAAATAACTTAATAGGCGTTATGAAAACGTGTGCGTGCGAGCGTCTTCATGTCATTTAAACTTTCTCATCATTCATTTCATCATCTGTTTACATTGAAGACAGAGCTGCGTGAGAAGTTATTTCAATCGATCGAGATTTAGAGGCCGACGTTTCAAAGTTCATGAATTAACTTCGAACCATTTAATGTATGATAACTCACCAACATGTGAATTTAAAAAAGTCTCTGTTTGACATATAGCTTTTGATGAATTTTGGTATGAAGTGTCATTGATACATGTGGCGGAAAACAGCTCTTTCATTCCAAATCTTTTCCGGTTTTTTCATTCCAATTCTTCTGTAAAGATTTTTTGTTGATTGTAGCACCAGCCCATTGAAGCCAATAATACCTTCGGTTCAAGAATTCACTCTTATCTATCTGTATCAATCCGGATCTACTGAGAACATTCTCACCTTACAGCACAACACAAGCGTTTGTATAAAGGATCAGTTAAAACTGCCTCAAATCTGGGTCAACGTCGGTGATCTAGAGCGGTTGACCAGACTAATGTCAAGTCTTCAACAAATGCGACAAGTATTGATTATGAATTGTAGATCTACCTGGTTTGATTTTTGATCTTTCTTGGATATGAGTGCAGCTTTCGATTGTGTTGATCATCAAATTTTTTTTGGAAAAACTGGCTTATAAATACGGTATCTTTGGTGCAGTTATTGAATGGTTCAGATCATATCTGGATGGCAGGAAGCACCAGGCTGTTTTTAAAAATGTATTATCTGAGGAAATGGTTTTAACATCAGGAGTACCACAAGGCTCGGTGCTAGGATATTCTTTTTGTAATGTATACTGCTGGGGTTTTAAGGTTGATTGATGAGTTTGGTTTTAGGTATCACGCTTATGCTGATGATATTCAAATAATAGTTAGTAATAAGCCTGAATTTCTACAATATGAAAGAAATGGACTTGTCAAATGTCTTAACTAAACTAAACAATATTGAAACCTGAATTTCGAACAATGGTCTTAAATTAAACCTATATATATATATATATATATATATATTTATATTCATGATTAAACCAATAAAAGTCAAAATTTATTCCCATTGGAGCATTACACAGTTAAAAAAATTTAATATTGATTTGGTAAAATCTAATGGTGTCAAATTTAAATTTTGCGACAAGTTAATTTATTTTATATTCCATAGATATAGGTATCTAATCCATGTTATATTCTTCAAAAAATCAAACTCTGACAAACAAATTAAGTTGAATTAAATTATCTTTGTTCTATGTAGCACGAACACGACATAAAATATCGCTCACTTTGTTTAGCTCTCCACTTTTCTTGCGCTAGCTGACTGAAGAAAATGGTGTTGCTGGAAAATGATGCTGTAAGTATAATTAATAAAAAGTATTTCAAATAGTTACTTTGCAGTTTTGAATGTAAAACAATTTTTATATTAAATAATGAATAAATAAATCTTATTCTCATTCAAATTCCAACAGCTGGAACTGTTATCTTTTCTCTTCCTCCATGTTCATTGTGTTCAAAAAATTACTTTTAAAATTCAACTGAATAATTTTTGTTGATTAATATTTAATAGTGTTTGTTTGTGCTTCATCTATCAACTGCCACTCTCTATTGTGGCCAACAGCTCTCTGTTTTTCTTTCAGTTTGTTTGACCTCTTTTTAAAATAAACATTTTTAAAAATTTTATCAAATTCAAAATTTAACAAATTCCATTAAATTTTTTTGCTATAGTGTTCACTAAAACTAAGACTTTTAAATTGCCATTTATCAGTATGAGTTAATTTAATTAAAACAAGCAGATGAAATTAAATATTTTTTGTTAATTTATTTATTTTGTTTCCATGTTTTTCCAGTTATTTGTTTTCAAGTAGTTAAAGTTATTATGTGAAGAATGATCATTTATTATTATTATTAATTGATTATTAAGAAGTGTGTTCAGTTAAATTTTTTTAAATCGAACAATTAGAATCAAATCTGATCTAATCTCAAATCTAGCGGTGGATCTTTTTGCTGTTGTCCTGTAGAAAAATAGTTAATTTTATGGACTCTTCTAATTTTAAATCTTAGAATTCATACCTATTTAAAATTTGATTATTTCTGAATTTTAATTTTTTATATAGAATAAAATCAAAATAATTTTTTTTATGATTTATGCTAAATGGAGATAATAGAGATTAATTTTATTTTGTTGAGCAAAAATAATTTTTGTAAAACAACAAAAATATTTTTATTTGATTTGTGATTTTATAGTTTCTGAGTGAAATGACACGAATGTTTCAGAAGTCCAAGTTGGGAAAACCTATACAACTCACCATGAAAAAATGTTGGTCTTTTTAATTTTTAGATTGAGCTTTAGAACATTATATATATATATATATATAATGTTTAATTTGAAATATTCTCCATCCCAATATATATATATATATATTATATATGTGTGTGTGTGTGTCTATGTGTTGTGTGCATAAATCATATGCTAATTATTTGTTGGGCAGGGACCTTTTAGTCATATTCGAGTCCGGTCATTGCATGTATTTGGGAAGTTCAGCAGGCAACTTCAACCACTGGGCCATCACGCTCTCAGGCATCCCGTTTTTCATAAATAATTATAAATGCTGGAAAATGTTGATATTTTTTATTCATTTATTAATTTTTATGAAAAATGAAATTACAAAAAGATGATGGTCGGACGAAACCCATTCCACGAGATGGCAAGCCTTCCTTGCCAGAAGCCCAGGAGCATAAATGCTTAATTCGAGTTGTCTTAGGAAACAAGAAAATTAGTACAGTTGTATGTGGCTTTAAATACTTTTTTTCGTTTGTAACATTTTGCTGCATCTTATAATGAATAATTCATTCATTTATTCATTTGCAATGTTCTACATGGTATTTCATTATTATTTCTTTTACATTATTTTACATAACCTTTTATTAATATTCATTTTTGTAGGTGTGCCAGAAAGACATAAATAAATTTCAGCTGGTAAGTAGATTTTAACCAATAAACAACCAGGGTGTCAGATTTGGATGAAAAATATCCGACTTTGGCCCCTAAAAAATTCTTATCCTACTCCTGACAAAATTTTCTTATTCTGGGTTTTGATTCCCAAAATAATTTTCCAACTTTTGCATTATAATTTCACCTTATTATCTCTACTGAATAAAAAATACTTTAGAAAACACTTAAAATCAGTCAATGTAATCGTTTTTATTAGTAAAATTACATTATTTTTATGTTTCAAAACATACTGAAAGAAAATTTGATTTTATTCACATCATTAACATTTATTTTCAGTGTTAAAGATGATTGAATAATCTCACGTATTTATCATCTGAATCGAAGATCTTGAAAAAATATTTTCAAAATAAGAAACTATTTTTCAAAAATCATATTACTTTCTAGAGTCAGATTGGGATGAAAAATATCCTACTCTGGCACTTCAAAAAGTTTAGAGTTCGGCAAAAATCTCTACAAACTCCGACTCCAACACTCTGCAAACAACAATTGAATATAATAAGCTTATAAACGTGTTAATTTGTTTGCAGGCATATGCAAATGTCCTCAAAGGAAACATGGACGGCCTTAAGAAGAAAGAAAAAATGAAAGTTAAAATGAAAAGCAAAGCAAATGCTATTTAAATTCTTCAACTTAATTTTTTAATTTATTTTATTCATCCAATTTAATTTTGTCACAATCTGTTAATTTTAAAGTTTATTTCTTGTTTTGTTCATGTAAAGGACGAAATAATAATTGTTTATGATTTCATCTCACAATCGTCTTCGTACCATCCCATGAGTACGTGTCATTGTTGTTATATTCCTGGAGCACAATTATATGCAAAAAATAAAATGTAGCAAACAAAAATAGCAATAAATAGATAACAGAGAGTAACGCGTGTTACAAGTGTGCTTTATGTCAGCGATAGAATGTTCTGTGTTGTCTCTTACCCTTACTATGGCTTGCAATGTTGAGTGTAGATGGTACTGATATTTAGATGACCGACTTGGTGATTGGCAGGAATAAAACCGAAGTCAAACTACTGCAACACAAACAATGTATGCGTGTATGTCTGCACGAGCAGCCACCAAGAGCTTTCTACCACACCACGTCACAGAACCTCCTGCTAGAAAAACCACCACAAAATGAATTACAACAGAACAAAAATACAAGAAAAACAAATAAAAAAATTAAATATAACCAGAAAAGAAAATAACTGCAAAACCAATACCAACGCTAACAAAAAAATACTTATCTTAATTCTGTGCCGATCATTTTCCAAACCGTCAGACTATTTATTGCACGACAACATGCGCTCAAAAAGCACTCATCTCAATTTTCTAACGATCATCCTCTAAGCCATCAGACCGTAACTGTAGGACATCATGCTCTGAAAATAATTTTTAATTGCTTTTTCAATAAATAATTTATAAAAACTTTAAATAACCACATTAAGCGTAGTCAGATAAAACACCGCAACAAGTAAAAAAAACACTTAAACCAGTACCAATCTCACCAATACCAAACTGCACCTGGCGCGCTGTTTGTTGGACGTTGCGTTCTTTATACACTCTTCCAAAGTTCAGAAGAATCAACAACACGGGGATCCTTTTGTCATATTCGGTAACGGTAACTGAACGCACTGCTCTTAACCATTAGGCCATCACACTGCCCAAACATCATATTATTTGTTTCCCTAAGGTTGTCACTGAATGATGTCATAATTAGAATCATATTTTATTCAAACAAGCGTCGATTCAAGTTCGGTATCGGCCTAAGTTTTTGACCTGGCCCAACAAAAATTAGTCAAAAAGGGACTTTAAGAACTTGATCAAGCTAGGTTAAATAATTTAGTTAAACTTGCTTGGTAAATGTTTGTACAAATGAATCAAAATGTGTTTATAAAAAGTTCTTTAAAAAAAATGAAATATAAACTGGCTACGTATTTGTTGTATTAATTTTTATTAACAACTGTTTCTAAAGTTGAATAGCTGCATTTAATAGTCCAGTTAAATAAAATATTATTTTCATTATAATATTATTTGAAACATCAGAATTCTGAATCTAAAACAATTAAGTGTACTGAAATATACCAATTACATTGATTGTTTTTTAAAGAATAGAGTGAAATTGATATTAGCCACAGGAAAATTTAGTTTTTATATCATTAACTCGTTTTGTTTTTCTGAATAAGATACTAAAATTTAAAAAAATATTTCATTTCTTCATTTATTTAATTCTACATCTTGAAAAAATTGTAATCATGGCAGTTCCGTTGTACAGTGCTTTTAAAGAATGTAGTGAAATTGAAATTATTTAGTTTATCTATCATTAACTCGTTTATTTTTTTGAATGAGATACTAAAAATTATTTTATTACTTCATTTATTTGATTCAACATCTAATAATCGTCAATCAGAACAAAAATGTTTTCTTTGAAATATTTTTCTTAAATCAACAAATATACGCATTTTTGGTTCTTTTATATGGTTTTAAATAAGTCAATTTACAGTTGAATCAAACCGAAATGAGAGTTAGATGAATGACTTAATAGCAGAAACTTCGCCGGTAACCATCTTCAAGCTGTCCTCCAGGAAGGAAATTGTTTCTTCATTTCCGTCAAGCCAAGCATTATCAAATTCCAAATCCTTCAACAACTTTGACTTTTCTTTGTCCAGGAATTCCACGTAATGTTGGATAGCTTCAACGGCTGGTTCTGTCTCAACATGAGCGGGACCCACAGAACTTGAATCAACATTCGTCATGAAATTCTGATAACTTGTAAATAATTCTACCTCATTTTCAAGTTGGTCTAATAGTCCGTTTGTGGCGTCAACTCTTTTCATTAACAAAGACCTCTTTATCTCGTAGTTTTTAATAAGCAGTTTTATGTAATCCGTTTTTAGAAAATTCACTTTCAATTCCAGCTTCGGAGCTGATTCGACAACTGTTTGTAATTAATAAATATGTTTAACTATTTCAAACATTATCTAAATTAATTTTTAGTATTATATGGTTTTAACAATATCAATAGCACCTATAGGCCCTTGCATTATAAAAAGCATCGACGGGAGTAGTAAGAAAGTCATTGGCATATACAAAAAATGTATAAGCCTGGGCATTAGTAGGATGGCACGTTTTTGCAAAAAAACCTTCTGATGGCTAGGTATTTTAAACAATTTGCAAAAAAGATAATACGCAATTATTTCAAGGTATTGAGTCATATTCTTTCTGTGTATTTTTGATTAGCGGCTTGAAATTTAGAAATTGAAATTTGCCTTCTGAAATAATTTTCAATTTTGGTACGCTCTCATTGAACTCCTAATCTTCTACTAATAGTATTTGCCTTCTATTGCTGTCAGTGATTGAGAAAAAAAAATAAAAAACTAAGGATGACGTCGATTTATTGAATAAATTGCAGTTGTTTCGCGTGGTCTTGGAATACTCATAAGAAATTTGTATCAAGTGTTCAAACTCCAAAGTTTTGTTTGGGCGCCCATTGTTTGTGTGTAAATGGGAGGTTGGGTCTAATCCTGAACTCCATGAAGACGCTACTGAGGAGTGAGAAAGATCGACATTTGAAAATTATGAAGCCTCATAACTTAATGTAGGCTACTTCATAACTCAACACAAAAAATGAATATATATAATTATTTTAATAAAAGTTCATTTCATTTGCAACCTTTTAAAGTTAAAAAAGGGTTTTAGAAACAAAACTTCAAATTGAAATATATTTAAAAAATTTGTTTTTTAAAAATTGAATTAAATGGCCCAAAACAATTCACATTTCACTTACCATTTCCGATAGTTTCGTCGATTGATTCACCTTTCAAAAATGTACAAAAAATTCAATTATTGAAAATAATTGAATGAAAAAATGAAGCCAACTCCACAAACTAACAATCCAATCAGGCAAAACGTTGAATAAAAAATGCAAACAGTACTTGATCGGAAAGATAGAAACAGCAGGCTCGTAAGCATCAAAACTTTGCGGAACATGGCTGAGAGATTCCTGAGGAACAGTTCAATGAGTTTCACTTCAACGTTTTTCCTCCATTTTTATACCTAATGTTATATATATATATATATATATATATATATATATATATATATATATATATATATATATATATATGTATATATATATATATATGTGTATATATATATGCATATACAAACATATTTGTATGTGTGTGTATGTGTGTTGTGTATGTGTGTGTGTGTTTGTGTGTGTAATACAAAAATATTCTTTTATTTATTGAAAAATTCAACAGCTGTAAGTAAATCATGTAAATCATTCAAATGAGAAAATTAATGTCAACCAAAAACTGAAAATTGATCAATCAATCAATCAACCAATCAATTAATCAATCAACCAAACAACCAATATCAGAAACTTCAATATATTAAAGGTAATTCATTAATTTAAATTGTCAATACAGATTTTAGTCATCACCGTTTAATTTTGTTCAGAAAATGATGTTGGTTGAAATGCTGCATTCGTGAACCTATAGGGAGAAGCAAAATATCGCAATATATACCTAATTAATTTTAATCTTTTCTAAAAAATAAGAACTGCAAAGAAGCAGTCTTCTTATTGAATAAAAATTTAAACCGATACAAAGTAACTAAGAATAAGTAGATAGAAAAAAAGAACCAAAAAGAACAAAAAAAAATATTTTTGAACAATAATTTACAAAGCAGACGCATGGTGTGCTGGCGCCAACATCAAATGCATGTGCCCTCTGAATCACGAATGACGGGACAGGGTAGTGATTTAATGGCCGCAATTTTTAAGAAATTGGTGATAAATTTTGTTTCTCATGCAGTTGAAGAATATTGAATGATTTTGATGTAAAATAATGGAGATAGCACGTGAATGAAGTTGTTTGCCTAGATCAAGAAAAAACACGATGAACATCAGCTGATTTCTTGTTTGCTTACGTTGAGTTGATTGGGTTAGCCTAATCAGATTTCAGTAAATGAAGTTAATTTAATTTTAAATCATCCGTTTTAATGTTTGTACAACTGTTGACATTTCTTTCAGGATTAAAATAAGTTGCTAAACAAAATGGCGTATTTGAGTTATTTAGAATCTTAACTTACTGTTGTATCCCTTGAACGCTCGTAACTACCAGCACCAACTTTATAGCTTCAAAGATATTATTTCCAACACCAATGTTGATGCTTCCAACAATTGTCAAGTTATCGTTATTTCGTAGGTTCAAGATTTTTACGATCAAAAAATTACAAATATAGCAAAAATAACAAAGATAACGAATAATCAAGATAACAAATAATATAGCATAATTTGACCATTGCAGCGGTTATAACGTTCTCCCTTAGCCTGTTGATCCCTAACATAGGCGTTACTTCTTTATTTTTATGAATAGGGAATAACCTTTCCCAATGGTCAACTTTCATCTTTGCCCGTTGTTTTTCGTGGTCACAGGTCCTGTAGATACCGTTATTTATTCTGTTAATGGCCTTGTTCCGATATTTCCAATTTCGTGAGAATTTCGCCGGGCATCGCCTTTTTCTGCGCCGTCGGTTGTGCAACCAGACCAGAGCTTTGCTGTTGAAACCTGTTTTATTTCCTTTTATGTCACGCCACGTTTCTATTACTTTGGTTCCTCTAGCCATAGGCAGGCGTCGTGGTTCTTTCTTGATTTTGTTGGCACCTGTTGCCAGTAAAATTTTTACGCTGATTTTTTGAGATGTTGAATGACCGGACGAGTATCTTTGATACATGTTGTAAGATTCAACGTTGACATCTTTTCTGTTGATAAGTGAGGCAGCGATGAAAGACAAGGATCAAGCTTTCATTCCGTGTGCGTGCTAGAATGGTTTTCTCAAAACTTGGAACATCATCTGTCATTTTTTCGTATTCGGTATGAATATTCGCATTAGCATTAGAATCATCTTCATTGACGTCGTTAATCTCTAGAATAATGTTCCCCAAATTAACGTCTTATCCAAATTATCTTAAATTGAATTGTTGGTGAGTGTTGCATCCAAATTGTTGTAGGTATTATTGCCACTGCTGTCGTTGTTTCGTTGTTATCAATGAAAATTAGCGAGTTAGCAGAAAGATTCGAATGATAGTCCTACTGCATGTCAAAAGTTTCCTTGTTTTTGTTACCGCCAAAATCTGAACTATTCTTAAAACCTTCATCGTCGTTTTCGTCATCAACTTCATCATTAGTAATGAAAAGCACTAGAAATGAGGCAGGCGAATCGCTTGCAGCAAAATCCGAGTAATAGTCCCATTGCATATCAAAAGTTTCTTTGTCATATATATATATAAAGTTCCCCAATATTTTCAAAACCTTCAATTTCGTCTTCGTCATCATATTCATCATTACATTTTTCTTTGTTAACACGTGCAACAAAGTTCTCACGTGCGCCGTAGTTGCACGTGCATTGCAGTTAACATTTGCTTCGCAGTCGAAACCATCCGTAGAAAGTATAAACTTGCGATCGCTAATGTAATTATACGTTGTTGAATAAGCTGGTGATATGATGTCAGGAACTTCAAGATCTCGTGTAATTTTTTTTTATTTTCGATTGTCACTTCATTAGGTGATGTTCTTTCAAAAGCCGATCGTATTATTCTAATTACTTTGACTGTGTGTTGATCGATCTTGTTGTTTAGTCCTTTTAGTATCTCTGACCTTTCAGTTGCCAATTCTTTTGATTCTTCTATTAAAATCGGCTTTTAATTCGGCACATTGTTGCTTCTGTTTTTCCATAGAATCCGGAAAGTCGAACTCATCAGGTTCATTACTTTAGTTTATTAGAGCATCCCTTAAGCGGTTCATCAAAACTGCCTTCAGTCCTTTCGAGTCGAGGTTTCGTTTTCGTAGTTCCTTCCTCAGATTTGTTGCATCGAATTCTTCTAATGCTGACATTCTTTATTGCAGAAAGTTTCAAGCTCTCAAAAATCTTTCTTCTGACACCAATGTTGTAACCTTGACGCTCGTTACTACAAACACCAATGTTCAAGATTTCCGATAGATGAACACAACTGCTTCAAACACAAACTTTGTCGAACGTTTATTTCAATGCCAACACTAAACTTATCCAAGAAAATACATAAATCAAAATTACAGCTTCGCTTTAAAGCTCTCTCTAACCTCGCTTAAAATTTTTTTGCCACAGGACTTTATATAGGCTCTAAAGTAGATTTTTAAGATCAAAAAACATTACTAATATAACAAAGATAGCAAAGATAACGGTTAATCAAGATAACAAATAATATAGCGCAATTGGACCATTGCAGCGGTTATTAAATTACTATTGTGCTGATACTAATATAAGAGTTCAGTAAGAGTTTTGGAGAAAGAGATTTTTGCCAGAGTATGATTGGAAATTTTTGAGGGGCCAGAGTTCGATTTGGAGACACTTTAATACAAAAAACAAATATTAATTTGTACACTAGGTGACTACGGTTAAGCGATAAGAAACGATGATAAACCGTAGTCACCTACTGTTCTCATAAATGCAAAATTGGTCAAGTGTGGGCACCAAAACTTTGAATACATTGGGATGGCAACAACCGAATTATCAAGAAGACTTGCAACATAAATACAAAGTAATTTTATTAAAAAAATTAATTAAATTTACTGATTTTTAAGTTTTTATTAAGTGTTTGTTTTATGTCATGTTCCCCACACTTTGTTCGTAGAACCTCAATAAAAAGTTTGATTGTAGTCTTTTTCTAACAGTCAGTAGACTGTTACGTTGTTTTTAATTTTTTCTTTCTCATTGTTTTATCTACGATATTTTTTATTCTCCCTATATTTTCTTCTACTCGTTCAACTATCATTTTAATTTCATCGAGATTTAGTTTAGCGAACGATGTCACTCCATTTTTTTCTGTTACTTTATCGTTACCTTCTTTCTGATTGCAACTCTGCAGCTCTTTTTCCACTACTCACTATGTCCATCAATGATTGTCTGTTTTTTTCTGGCTTACACGCTTACACATCTTTGATCAGTGATCTTTCGGTATTTCTTAAGGACGGTCGGTGCCATTAACCGTTATAAGAGTGTAATAATAATTTAATAAAAACTTAAAGAAAATATTTTTTCAATTTTAATAAAATCACCTTTTTTATTAACATCACGTTAAATTTTATATTCGTTACAAGCTGTTTATCTATGTTTATCTATGCAGGGTAATCAAAAGATTGATGGACATATTATTGGTCCGAATTAAGATGTGGTATAAAACAGTTAAACGACATTCTTTTCGGTATATGCAAATGTTTATTTCAGTACATTTTCACTATAAAATATTAAGTAATTCAAATTTAAATAACTTGTTTTAAAAATTTCCATAAAGCCAGCTTTTGTGAAAAAATGGATAATGATTTAAGAATTATATAATAATTTCGTGAGCATTTATGAAATTTAACAAAATTTTCTATCTTAAAATTGATGATTTGTTTTTATACTGTAAAATGAAATTGGCTGATAAAATGATAAAATGAACGATAATGGTCTCTGATCGTTACAATTCGTATGACGCCATGAGCTGACATAATGTTGCAATAAACATTAAGCAAAATGATTAAAAAATAATTAAAAAAATAAAATTTTCAACAAATGAGTAAAAATTATCATTAATAAACTTTAAGAAATGTAAAATTGGATGAAAATGTGCGCTGATGCATTCGAGGACCAGTGTAGGTGTTTGAAGTATACGGTTGTAGCTGCCATTGCGGCCCGATTTAGCGGCTTTTTGTTCCATTATTAAAGCAAACTAAATTAAGTAAAATATGATTTCTTCTATTCTCGGGTAATCGTTCTCGATGGTTGTTACTTTTAATTGTAATGTAATAGATGATGGCCCGAATAAACGGCTTCTACAGTTTTTTCTTTCTTCTCATGGTTGGGTCATTTTATCGGGGAGGTGGTTAAATTGAAATTAATTAGTGGACAAATTTTATGCATTGATATTTATAATTTGATAACTCTAATTGTATTTTAATTTTCATGGTCTGAAAAAAATTTTCTTTCCAAAAAATTACGGTACAACAGTAAAACACTTTCAAGACAACTTTTTCGTTTAAAAACGTTTTTTATTGTTCCAATTTGAAATTGAATTAAAAAATTCCAATTCAATAAAATGAGTGAATTTATAATTATCCGAGTGACTTGATGGTAGGAGCCTCGTTGGCAATCAACTGCATACCATCTGACAAATAGAAGTAAGTTTGTTTGTTTCCATTAAACGAAGCTTCGTCAAATGTAAAATCTTCCGTCAATTTCAGCTTTTCGTTTTCCAGAAAATTCAGGTAATTCTGAATCGATTCAACTGCTGGTTTTACCTCGACATGGGCTGAGCCGACAGGACTTGATTCAATGTTGATCAAAAAATCTTTAAAATCTTCGAATATCTTCATTTCCTTTTCAAATTGATCCAACAGTTTTGTCGTGCCTGCTATTCTCTCGCTTATAAAAGGTTCTTTTATTTTGAAATTGTCAACAATAAGCTTCATGAAACCCAATTTTTGAACATTTAGATCAGATTCCAGTTTTGGAAAAGCTTTTACAACTGTTCAAAAATTAGGTTACATTGAATTAATAAATTACAATTTTTGTAGTTAATACAAGATCGTTGATTTTTTAATTGAAAATATCGTTAAACCTTTTAAACTTAGAAACTATTAGATCTATGTGAATGATGCATTTTTCCTACTGCTGTGTTGATGGGTAATGATAATTTTTAGTTTTGTTTTTCTGGTTACGCTTTCCAAAGCACCCTACACACGTCAGTTTTTTTTAGCACAGTTTTAACTGTACAAACCATTTTGCGCGCGAACTGGCTTGATCAAGCTTGTCTACACACGCAAGTTTTTTTCCTCAGCTCCTTTTTACTTAGTTTTTCGGTGTTGGTATAATAAAATTTCAAATTATATTACACACAGTTATCTTATCAGCACAAAGCACGTTTAAGTTCGCTCAACATTGCCGACGACTTGAACGGCATCACCCAACGTCGACTCACCTTTTACAAAATGAAATAAGAATTCAATTCAAGTTTATGATTGAATGTTCTAAATTTCCAAATTAGATAATCAGTCAAAATGTTGTATCATAAAAGCAAAACAATACTTGATCTGAAGAATAGAAGCAGGAAACTCGCGAGCTTCAAGACTTAGCTGATGATGGCTGAATGATTTCTGCAATGAGGTTCATTTCAACGTTTCTCCGCTTTTCAATTCTCTTGATATCGTACTCTTTCTTTTTCTCTTTCTCTCTCTGTATATACATTTTCCAAATAAAAATTAAGATTTGACACACACACACAAAAAATCAAAATTGATAACGACGTTTATTGGCAATAAATAAGTAAAAACCGTTTTATTTATTTACGTAAAAATCCAAATAATAGTTTTATTTATTCATTTAAATCAATCGACCGAATGATCGATCAACGAAAAAGAAAAATAAATAGCCTTTATTTATTTATTTATTTGAGCATTTTATTTTTTTATCATAAAAATATTTTCAGTTGAGATAGTGTTGGAAAGATATGCGGATATTTGTAGATTATTAAATGTTAACAACATGCATGCTGAATCAAATTATATTTTGTGTTATAATTTTCAAATGGATTGTAATGCATGCAATAAGCTGAAAAGTCATTAAAATTAATTGTCATAAAAATAGTTAAAAACTTAAAAATTACTTCCGAACAAATAAAAATGTCAATAAAAAGTGATTTATAGAGCATGGACGAGACGCACGGTGATTTTCGGATTCATCGTTCAGTCAATGTTGTCTGCGAATTATGGGTGATGGTAAAGTGCCTGGGTGATTTAATGGCAACAATTTGAAAAAAAGTTTTAATAAATTTTTACACATTCCTTTAAATAAATATACAATTTGACGTGTTCCATCAATTTTTATTTTTTTACTTCTTTTGGCCCTAGTCATAATTTTATTTTTTTTTTATTAGAAGTTTATATTATTTTATTACAAACAGTTTTTAATTGATTATATAATAGTAATTTGTTGCAAAAATTTATTCCAACAAATGCTCCGTAATTGCGAAATACTTCATTAGACGAGGAGGTGCAAATATCAGAAGAACTTCTGCAGGATGCACAGACATTCGTTGAGAGTGCGGCGGATAATCACGAACGAATGGAGGATGCTATGGACAATGGTATGGTTTTAAGTGAAATTTATTTTCAGTGTTTGTTTTACTTAGATTGTAGGAGCTCCTATCCTGCCCTACCATTTGGCAACCTTTACTGGCCTGATTCGAATACAAAGAAAACCCCGACTATCGAATGTTCTATCGTATTTTCAAGTGTTTGGACAAAACGTTCAAATTTGACTAAGCCAAAACACACAAAAAAACTTCTCATGCTAGTTTCATTAGTTTATTTGGGATATTGATGATGATTATAATTCACTCCAATAAAACAACAGAACCTCATAATTTGTGGTTTACATAGTATACTTTAACTTAAAAAGTCTTTACATAATAATTTGCGGTCAAGCTTAATCTAATGTATCTTAGTCGTGCTTGCTTGAAATCCTGGTTTTATCAGTGTTTCTGATGGGACTGTTTTTTGAAGAATTTATAGATTTCAAGCTTTCACAGATAAAAAGTGCCCATTTACAGGAAGAATCGACCAAACAAAAACCCAGTAACTGATTAAAAAAAAATTCCAAAACTCTCAAAACTGGTCATGCATCTACATCTGATAACTCACAGCAATACATATTGGGAAACTGTTTAGCATATCAAGTAAAATAGCAAGCACTCTAAGCTGGCGAATTGATTAACAAAATTACGATAAAATAATATGATAATGTACCAAACAAACACAAATCATTCAGTCCAAAAAATCCAATTTTTTGTCCAACATAAATGAAATAAACCATACAACAAACAATCGATTTATAACGCAGTTATTGCGTTACACTATATATACGGGAGAAAATTTTATTTTATAAAAAAAAAATCGGAAAAATTGTCAACTTACTTAGCCGAATATTATTCACTCCATCACTTTATTTTATCGAAGCGCTAGATTCGTGTTAGTTAAATGTCGAACGTTTTCGTTATTCTATTAAATTGTACTCACGATATATAAAGAATAAAAGACTTTTTCGTTTAAGTATTTGTTTATTTAACAGATTTTAGTTAAAAATCAGATTTAGAGTTATATAAATTGAGATCAGCGAACCGAACACTAGTCAACAACTCCACTCTCCCTGCTTGCACTCCTGCAGGCAGACGTATATAATTGATATTTCTCTTCTTAATTAGATTGGACTCTTTGGTTAGTTAGCTGCTAAAATAATTGGTTATTATTTAAATATAAAATTTGCGAAATTTTTTTGCTCTGTAATATTATGTTATATATAATTGAGAAATGTCAAAAGTTTTTTTAATATTTTGATTGAGTTTTTTGTCTTTTAAACTTTAACTTTTTAAACTAAAAATTGTTAGGAGTTAGAATGTACCCTGTATGTACAGTACAGGTGTACCCAAATGGATCCTCGCTTCTCTAAATGTCAAATGTCTTTAATTTGGATTGAATATTTGATAATTAAAAACTAAATGCAAATGTGAATGCTGCTTTGTTTTTATTAGGAAAATGGGTGGTGTGTATAAATTTTCTTCTCAATTATTATGACCATTATTATTATCCTGATTATGACTAATTGATTCAGTTCAGTTGTTTATTCATATCATATCATAGTCAGTGGCTTTGCATTGTTGTATTAATTGATTCTCTCATTTTTAATTATTGATGTAATGCAATTTAAACATTATTCAATTTGCATAAAATCTTGGTCTAATTATTTGGCAATTACTTTCTTAACAGTCTTTGAACAACAATTTACATTGAAGATGAAAATACAAGAATCTCATTCAAAAAGAAAAAAAGATGACACAAATGATGTGGTTAAAATTACTAAAGAGCCAAAAACTAAACGTAAAAAAGTTATTAAAAATGAAAAAAATTTAAAAGTTGATCCAAGCCAACAAGGAATTAATGCTTCATTTTCAGCTGTTCTAAATAAACTTCTCATAAATCAACCTCTAAATAAAAATTTTAAAATACCTACAAAGACTTGTGGAAGAACATTTGGAAATGATTTAAAGAACATTAATTGTGGTAGAAACTTACTGGAAACAAACAAACCAAGCAATAGTAAAAAGGAAATTAACAAGTCAAAATGTCCTATTGTCACATCAACTCCTATCATCATGCTGGAGGATCTAAATTTGATTATTAATAACGATATCCGGAATAGTTCCATAACAGTTGACACCTTAGATCTCAATGATTGCGAGAAAGAACATGAACACAGTTTTTCAAATGGCATTTCAAACTGTGTTAATGTCATTCCTATATTGTCTCCTGTCCTCTCTCAAGCACAGCTAGACAACAAATCGAAAGTTGATAAAGGTAAACAGAAATGTAGGAAGCTTAAAAAAAAAGTTAGTGACATCATGCAACAACATCTCTCCATCATAGAATCAACTAAAGTGTCTGATACCGAAAACCTTAAGGAATCAAAAAACCTACAACAAGTTAATGGTGTGGTTGGGATGAACCCATGCGACAAAATAAAATCATCTGAGTTTATTAAAGGGTCAAAAATTAGAAACAGGCCAGAATCAAAACACCAGAAACAAGTATCTGATGCCGATAAAATGACCTCATGCAATAAATTGAAATCATCAGAGGAAGAAAAAAATGAAAATGGCAGTTTCAGATTGTTTGAAATGGATCGGTCAGATGTAAACACCCAGCAGAAATATTCAAAAAAGAAAGCAGTAAAGAAAACAGTAAAAGCTTCAAATGCAACAGAACACACTGAATGCTTTTCTGATAATCATAAAGCAAGAAAAATAATCAAGAAAGGTAGCAAACTCAAAATAATTTTATTTGTGGGTTTTGAAACATGTTTGTGAATATTTAAATGTACTTTTAATTTATTCATAGACATTTGAATGTGCTTGAGTACATTTCATCGTATTCATAAATATTTCAACGCATGTTTAATTTTTTAATTGCAGCAGTTGGAGATGCAAAAAAGAGGGAACACAAACTGGTTGGTTTTATACTTTGGGGTCGTCCATTTATCATGTCCATATGCTCGCACGAAAAGAACTGTAAAAAATTGGTAAAGAATGCCATTGAAACAAAAGGTACATTAATGTGTGTCAAGTCAAATAAAACTGAGTAGTAACAAGTGCCCCGAGTATGATTGCTCATGGTATTTGGTAATATTGTAAAAAACGGTAACTGTTATTGAAATTAAACAGTTTGTTTCAATCTAAAGACGTTTCAAACATACGCTGATGGAATGCTTATAGTTTTATGGCCAATTGAAGTTATTTACTAAATCAGGAGCACAAGAAAAATTAATTGTGTGGACTTGATAAAACTGGATGACCCCTGAATCATATTTAAAAACTTTTTTAATTTTGACATGTTCATAATTACAAGCTCAACATTCATTCAGATTAAAGACTTTTGGAGTGATGACGTGTTGCAGAAGATGAAAGAGATTGAGGACATTGCCGACAACTACTCACTCATTATTCAATAATAATCTTTTTTATTTTATATTTTTATTTAAAATTTCTTAAACCTTACTTTTGTTCTACTGTTGTTTTTGTTTCAGTTTTAATTGGTGACCGTTGATTGACAGTAATATCTCAGATCTACTTGCCTCGAAATTATCGATCAAAAATTTCATTCATTTTTACATATTTTCTTGCAATTATAAGTTCAAAAAACGTTTAATTAATGTAAAAAATCATTTTATTAAATCAAAACATCTGACGAATTGTCAGGACATATAAAGAATGTCTTACAAGTTCTAGCGCGTTCCTAAATTATAATATTCAAAAAGTCCACATCCCTTTGTCTGTCAAGTCATTCTGTCGAAACATTGTCAGTTCGTTTCGTCAATATTTATGTCCAGTCAGTAATGTCCGTTGTCATATTCTCGTATGTCCAGTCAGTAATGTTCGTTGTCATATTCTAGTATGTGTCAAAGTTAGTCAAATCAGTAGTCATCGGTCACGGTCAGTCAACTAAACATGCATGTTGCATTTGTTGCACTAAATAACATTACGCAACATTCGTACATGAAGCATAAGTCGAGTCAGGTCAGGTCAATGTCAAGTGTTTGAAATGTCAGTTACATGCGGTCGTCCTTCATGTATGCGTCGAAATGTGTCCACGGTATACAGGGTGAGGTCAGTCCACTGCACCTCTGTCAGGTCTCCAAAGTCACTAGTAACTCAAAATTAACATGCAATCTATAACGAATAAAAATGGATGAATAAATTTTCCAACACTCGTACCAATTGCAAAACGAAAATAGATTATAACAATAAACATGAATTTCGATAAGTGAATCATTTACAATAAATAAAAATAAATTCATTAAAATTTAAGTTAAAGATAATTAATTAATTTTCAAAAACAAGAATGATGATAAGACTACTATTGTTGCACACTTAAAACAGAAAAATGTACCAGCTAGCAACAGACGGACAACAAACAGTACGGTAAAACAAACGCATGTAGAGAAACAATCCTATTCATATAACAATCATTCATACAACAAAAGAAGTGAGAATATAAAACATAATTACAAATAGAAGAGTAAGAGATGATTGGGAAGTGATTGGCAGCTCTGAATGCCAATCAACCAGATGGCGCAGTTACTTTGCTTTTCTTCTGCGAGAAGTTGATCTTATCGCCAAGACTTAACGCCATGCCCTGGTAATACAAATAGTATGTATTATTAGTTGTAGCTTCATGTGGAAGTTGTAAGAATGTTTGTGATGTGACTGATGCACGTTTGTTGTAATAAATCAATGTGCAGTTTTGATCAGTACCATAACGATTCCCATTCAATAAATTAATAATTACTGAATGATGACCGATTAAAAACACCTTAACCAATCGATTCTGATGAAAAGATCAACAAACAGACAATCAGCCAATCTATCTAATTGCCAACTAATCAACCAACCAAATTATCAATTGGCCACCTAATCAACCTACTAACCTGACTCTTGGCCCTGATCCTAATATGTCCAGTAACAGTAGCAGATGGGTGGTCGGTTGCTTTCTCGATGCTCAAATTAGCTAGGGCATCCTCACCAAAGATAGACTTGGCATAGAGGTTGGCTGCCATAAACCCACATTCACCGTGCAAGGCCTGTTTATTGTTATGATTGATGGTAATGGTCTAGCCACTGGTCACATGTATGACACTGATCATTTTATGAGATAATGTTCTACATCAAAGTAATCTATTGCCAGAGTATTGGCAATAAATTGGCAATTAATTATTGTGCGCTTGAGTAATAAAACAAGTGATTGGGTCCATCTACATACGCTATTAGGCAAAAAGTATGTATGTCAATTACCTTCCGACAATGGATAAATTTATTGGTGAGTATTTTGTTGTTATATAAGCACGTCCTACCTCGGGGAACCGGGTCTCTGGACGCAAAAGAAAGATTGATTGATTTGTTGTTATATAAGCAAGATTACGGATTTCTGAGATTGTAATGTTAGTGGGTGCAATGTGAAGTTGTATTGCTATAAAATTATAACACGTTGCGATATGTGCTACCTTGTCGGGAGTGAGGCATTTCATGTTAGTGCATTTGATGAGGTGGTCAAGGTATTCGTAGAGATCTGTGATGTTTGTGTTGACCGCCACCTGTTGCATTGGTACCAACAACAACATCATGCGTCCATCAACGTGAAACTACAACACGCATGCAAACATCATTAGCAACAAACAATCAACATCATCGACGTATAGCAACACGTTAAGAATAACATCATACTATATCACTGCAATCACATCCACATTATCACCATCGGCTTTTTCAGACGATCAAAAAAAGACACTAACAATGACTCAACACGACAACATAGTATCAACACATAACCAGACACACTCACCTTGTTCTCCCACTCAAACTCCGCCCACATCTGCCTGAACTCTGTATCGGTGCACGTGCCAGGGACGATGTAATCCATGATGTCGATGTGGATCTCGTTCAGTACCACTGTGTTCCTCTCGCTCGTCGAGCCACTCACATCGTACACTGAATGAAATACAAACGATGCAATTGGGGATTGTACATTGAATTGATGAATATATTTAAAAAATTTAAACTAGGTTTAAGACTGCCGAAGACACAGTTGTTAAGAAGTATCGCTGTATTTCCACACGACGGCTGACTATGTCACTAAAGCCAGTGACGCAATCAGCAGCAGTGAGTTGGAACAAAGCTGAGAATGCAGTAACATTTCTTAACAACTAAAAAATTTAATTAATAAAAAATAATAAAATCAAAATATCTTCAATATCAAAGATTTTACTAATTCTTCCACAGCAAAACCCATTTACCGGTCTAGAAATTTCAACATTAGATGTGCCACAGAATGCCGAGTACAATACCATTACATCATGTTGATAATACAATAAGATTAGAAACAAATGATAAGATATGTTAAGCTTATTTCATAAGAAGAATTATTCTCAAACAGAATTCATAGATTCAATGCAAATGATGAAACTGAAAATGATGAATTAATTTTTAAATTTGCCAACCGAAAACGCGCAAGTTTATTTATCAGCTTGCACGGCATGTGCGTGCAGGTCGCCGGTTGGATACAATTGCACCTCCCAGTAGACATTGAATAAATAAATTGCAATTTGAATTCTAACTCTTCAACTTCATTAACGTTTCTTACCAGCTTTCAAGAGATAGGGACGTAAACTTTATATCAATTTATACTACTCAGCTGGATAAAAGTCACGGTGGAATATTCATTTTTTAAATTTATTATTATTATTAACACTACCCTTAGATAGTTATTACTAATTTTAAGTGATGTTGTTTGTTTGAATGGCTTGCAAAGTCATATTAACATCGCAAACCAGTAACTCTAGGTATTCTGGCATTTCCTAATTTAGACATAAAGGTTAGAGATCATTCTCTCCAGTGCACTTGTTTCAGAGGTTGTCAACGACAAACACACACGGCATATATGAATTTGATAGCTTTTTTTTTATTTTGCACTCATTAGGCTTGCAATAAATTTGATGACAGACGGATTCAGTTTCATAAAAACTTGAAAAATCATTCATTGTCCTGCTAACTTCCTGTTCATTACACTCATTTAAAAACGAAATTATTGGTACTGTTATTGGCTGATGACGCTTTTAAGGTAGGCATTCGTATTGGTAGAATGCTTGATACAATGTTAGTGCCGCTAACTGTTTTTCAGGTATTGTTAACAATTGGGATATATACACGTGCACACCAACACAAACAAACAAACACACACACACACACACACACATACAGTTGAGTGCACAGCAACCCACCGATGCTTCCGAATATGATGCCATTCTCTGTGGATGCCACCTTGATGCTTGCTTTGATGTTTGTAAAGTCCTGAGGGCCCAGCACCACTGATTGTGGCTTCTCCACCAGTTTCAAGTCGCCTGAAGAATTGTGGGATGATTATTTTGTAATTTTAAGAAATGAGGAAATTGGAAAACGCGGGAATGACGTGACAAACTTGGGATTGGAAAATTTAGAAAACCTAGTCATGAAGGGGAAATTTATTTAAGATTCTTTTTTTTTACAATAAACCTAACATTGAAAAGCTGTAACCTCCAGATAGCAACATTACCAAATTATCAGCTCATTTTCTCACCATACCAACATAAACACATCGCAAAGACCTCATGCCATTGTATCGGCATCACCACACCACACCACGCCAGCAACATCACCATACAAGGCATAATAACCAAGTGTGGCCAACTCAAGAGTGAGACTCTGCAGCGTGTCGCTGGTCTGATTGACGATGAGGACATCAAGGACGATGTCGTACTGGTTGACGTGTACATATGCCTCTGCATATACTGGATCACTGAATCCCGTTAACTGAGTAACCTACATGTAAGATCAGGTGTGCGTGTGTACGTGCGTGTCTGTGGATGTTTTTAAGAGTTATGTGATGTTGATGCTGGTACAACACATTCAGAGGCATCAAGTGAGGTGTACACATATCATTTGTGTATACATATCATTTGCAAGTGGACGAACATGTGGGGAATGCTGTTTGAGGAATGTCGCACTGCGAAGGAAAAACAAGCGAACACGCAAAAAAATAATGAATAATAAACAAAGCAGTGAATGAAAATGAATGATAGTCGACTAAAAGGACAGAACCTTGTTTAGTTTAGAGGAAGCGACGATGTCTGTTTCCTTCTTACCGCCCACTCCAAGTGCTTGCGAGAGGGTTAGGTCGAACATGTTCTGTAATGTGGTGGTGTCATGTTGTAATGCTGCTCTGTTCAGTTTCTTATAGTATTAATTCATAGTGCTGTTTGTTCTAATGTTGTGTCGTGATGTTCAGCTATTTTGGTGCATTTGTCCCGTCACTCAGTACCCACTCTCGTCACTACATCATTTCGTACAATTGTTTTGCAGTGCACACGAAAACCCATTAGCACATCGTCTCATACTTGCACGCAAGCTTATTATCAAGCCTTAATCCATCATATTTTACATCATCTTAGTCGTTCTACCATTTGCATGAATTATCATCAATGTCATTTTCGTGATCATAACATCATGTCATCATAACGCCCCGTCACTACAAGCACTGCTTCCATCAGCACAACACCATCACCATCATAGCAGCATCATTATGAACACCAAAACCATCCTCATCATTATTATCCTGCAGTTCACTGACCTCAGTGGCACCAAGTTCATTCTTGGGGATGAGTTGAAGGAATGCAATGGGATCGTCCGCCTCAACTGACGTCTGTTTCTTTTCTTTGTTCTATTGTAGCGGTGGAAGTAATGGTACTCAAAATGAGAGCCCAATGATCCATCATTTCAAAGACCAACCAACCAAGCAACCAACCAACCGATCAACCAACTGACCAGCCCTAACTAACCTTTTGCACCTCTTTATCCTCTTCCATCTTGACTGCCAGCATGTTGGAAAGTGATAATCTGCATCTATCAGCAAATATGGACATGAGGAGAGGCGAAGGTTCTGACAGGACACGAAGACACGTTGCTATGCGGTCCACGTCGTCATCTGTGATTGGCTGCAGGTTAGGAGGTAGGCGAGAGATCAGCATATTTATTATTTGTCAATAATATACATTACACGTGGAGGATTTGTTTTGCATTATTAACAGTCCCGACTCAGCTGGTTGTGTTCGTCTATGAGTGTGGTTATGTAGTAATGACGAATGGTCTTCAGAAATATATTATTATTATTATTATTAACGGGGTTTAAAGTGGTTCAGAAGACTATGGTCTGTGTAAGAACCACTACAAAACCACTTCTTTGACATATCTTGATATGTCAAAGAAAATTGACATGTATGTGGATAAATATGCTGCAAGAATATTTAGTCGCTTGAAAATATAAAATGAATAGTTTTATATTTGCGTGTAACCTTGCATATTGTGGTTAATTCAATTTTATGGAAGTTTTTTTTATAACTTTTTGAGCTTTGATAAATATGATCAAAAGTGTTAGAAGACACTATCAAGACGTTCTTTAACATATGATTTTGTGGTTTATACAAATAGCTTTTGTGATTCTATAACCTACATAAAAAATACTTTGCATTTTAAGACATGAACGTTCATAAAATGTCAAATTTTAAAATATTTCAACCTGGACTGAAAAGTCATTAAAGGCTGAATGAAAAATTATTACCATCTATTATCATCTTATTCATCAACAATACCACTACAATCATCAGCATCATCAATAGCATCATCATCATCATCACCATCATGTCAACATAACAATCATCATCATCACCATCTTCACCTTGGTAGGCAATCCTGACTTTCCATAATGAAGGACTGACGACATGATCAGCATGGCTTCTGCTAAAAAGGCCTGCAAATACAAAATTAACAAAACACGTACAAAAGGTCACTCACAAGATGCAACATGCATCTACTTTTATATGGAGAGGGTTGATGAGAAGCAGTTAAAATTAGCGCTATATAAATAACAAATTACAATTACAGCACATCACATAACACACAACACATCACGCACGACATAAAACATATGGACAAGGGCATTACTAACATACAAACACCGAATCACATCATTATAACATACAATCAAACTCATCATAGTAAAATTGAATTACAAAATTAGGGCAAGAGTGACCAACGAAATATACGGACAGACAGACAAATTGATTACATAGACGGATGAGCAAGAAACAAGCAAACATAAGCAAGCAAATAAGCAAGCAAACGAGCAAACGAACATTAGTTTTTGGTCTGTCTTGCGTGAGTGCAGCGTATCTGAGTGCGAGTTTGGTGAGTGTGGTTGAGAGGGCAGCTCCGATGAAGAAGTCACCATCGGACAGGAACTGTCGCAAGGGTGGTCTGTCAACAGTTTAATCATTATTATATGTTTGTGGTTAATAGATAGTTGGATGATGAATAGTCAACAAGTATGTGGTACCACATCATGTAAATTCATATTATCAAGGTACACCCGCACACACACACACACACACACACACACACACACACATACACACACACACATATATATATGGTATGGAGAATTTATATAGCGCCCCTCTATGTAAAACTCAGAGGCGCTGTTCGAGAAGCTGCCGGTCAAAAAAGTGATGTTTGAGTCGTTTTTGGAACATGTCTCTTTCATCCATACTATCAACGATATCATCGGGCAGTTTATTCCAAACCTCCGCTGCAGCCACGGAGAAACGACGCCGTCCATAATTTTCTGTCCTGAACCTAGGAACAACGAGTTTCTTTTCGGCAGAGGATCTGAGTTTTCGCCCCCCGGCAGCCGTAGGGACAGGCACGATCAGCTGTTGAAGGTATCGAGGACCAAGCCCCATCAAACTGTCTCTTGTAAACATTGCTATTCTGAATTCGATTCTATAACAAACTGGCAACCAGTGAAGCTCATTTCGCATATATGATGAAACAGATTCATATTTTGTTACACCAGCAATTATTCTTGCTGCAGTGTTCAGAATAGACAGTATGCAGTTTTGAAGATACAAGCTTGTACCATAGACGATTGAACTGCAGTAATCTATTCTTCCATAAATGAAACTGTGCATCAATGAAATTAAACATTCATTTGTCAGGTACTTTTATATACGTCTGATTTGGCGCAATTGGTAAAAACATGATCGACAGACATTTTTCACATGTTTATTCATCTTCAATTCAGGATCTATCCAAACACCAAGATTTTTGACTGGCTCTACATATTCCTGAATACCAGTTAATTTTTGACGAGTACCCAACCAGATGTATTGTGTCTTGTCAATATTCAGCTTCAATCCATTTGCCAGCATCCATTCTGAGACAGTTCTTACACCTGTTTGAGTTCTGTCCGCTAGTTCCTGTCTTTCTTTGATATTACAGTAACTATACAGCTGTATATCATCTGCGTAAAGGTGACATTTCAAACCCGATGACTCAACAACTTCCACAATATCTGCCGTATAGAGAACATAGAGCAGGGGTCCCAGAATTGATTCCTGTGGAACTCCTTTCAACAGTGGGGAGGAAGCAGGATCAGAGCCATCAACACATACCGTTTGCGATCTGTCAGACAAATAGGATTCAAACCAGGCAAGGACCATTCCACCCAAGCCATATGACTTTGCAAGTCGATCAAGAAGGAGCTTGTGGTTGACCGTATCGAAAGCAGCTCCGACATCGAGCAGAGCCAAGAGAGAGATACTACCAGAATCAATAGCCTCATAAACATCATTGAAGACCTTTAGAATCGCTGTCTCAGTTGAGCGTCCAAAGCAAAAACCTGATTGAATTCAGGGAAAAGTCGGTTTAATTTCAGGTATGCGATCAATTGTTTGGCCACCAATTTTTCAATGAGCTTGGAAACAAACGTGAGGTTTGAAATCGGCCGATAGCTTCTAACATCACTCGCATCGGAACCAGCTTCTTTTAGCTTAGGAAGTATGATAGCCCTTTTTTGACTCTCCGGCAGACATGACGCATTACATAATGCACATAGATATGGCATCAGAATACCAGAAAACTCTTTGATCAAGAAAGATGGTGCAGGGTCAGTACAACAACTTTTTGCTGGCATCAATGACATTATATTTGCCACCTCATCTGGTGCGACAATCTCAAACTGATCAAAATGACAGCTAACTTCTCTGATGACAGGAGATTGTGGTCTACAAAGATCATCGATATGTGCTGGCTCTGTCTTTTTAACAATATATTTCAAATACTCCTCTGCAGAAATTTTGCTAGGCTTGAAAGTTTCATTCCTCCCGAGCAATGCTGATATAACTTTCCACAGCCCCTTAGGGTTCTTGACATTCGATGAAACAACTGACTGCCAATACATCCTTTCTTTTTGCATGAACAGATCACGTTTTTGTTTCAGTACTGTCGTCCAAGCTCTACGAGTCTCATCATCTCATTTTAATCTAAAGATGTTCTCTAGTTTGCGAACCTCTCGTTTTTTGTTCAGGCATTCATTGTCAAACCAGAGAGGTTTTAGAGCACATACTGTGATTTTCCTGACTGGGGCAAATCTATCAATCAATATATATATATATATATACTGTAATAAACCATAATTTTTACAATATTCTATAAAAGGATTTCTATATTGTAGAAAAGGAGACCAAAGAAGATGACCAGCCAATAAAGAAACCTGACACCTAATTTCGATCTAAGTTCACTTTGACAAAGTCAATCTCCATCTAAGTTCATTTTGACAAAGTCAATATTTCCCTATATAAACAGCAGAAAGCACTGATGATGATTCATTCAGAATCGAAATATGGCCTTATTCGCAGAATGAATTCGGAAAATAAGTTTATTTTGAATTTTAATAAACTAAACGTTCCCCTAAAAACTTTAGTGAGAAAAATTGAAAAAACGAACTACAAACATATTAACGCCAAATATTCGGTAGAATTTATAGAATGTTGTAAATATATATATATATATATATATATATATATATATATTATCATTGCTTGTGCATACGTCGACGATAAACTACGTTCGTTACTTTATCATGTATTGTTTCTTTTATTTATTTTATTTTTTATTTGGTTTTTTTGTTTTTTTTTTATTATTCACGCTGTCATTTGTTGCTTTGTATCTGATAGCGTCTTTGAGCAATTTCATAAAAGAAAAGACGTTATTACAAGTTTTTTATAATAATAATAATAATAATAATAGTATTAGTAATAGTAATAATAATAATATATGTATATATAATATATATATATATATACACATGTAGACAGATAACATAGATAAGAAACCTCGACTGTTCCTTCTTGACGACATTTGCATTAGCGGAGAATGCACTCTGCGAAGCATAGGTGCCATCAGCAGTGACCAGCCTCTGCACACCAGCTCCCTGCGTCATCTGGATATCCTCCTCTGTCTCACCTTTCTTCTTGTTCAGTTCATCATCAACTATTGGGATCTGTGCATCATGAATGCGGCATTAAAAATTTGTACACACACACACACATACACACACACACACAGACAAACAAACAAACAAACACACACAAACAAACATACACACATATGAACCAACAAGAAAACAAAGAAAAAAGAAAATTAATGCAGATGAATAGAAAAACAAGAAGACCTCTCCAAGTGATTGCCTGATAAGTGTCATGACACTTTGAATGTCTTCCCTGGTTGTGCAGTACTCACCCAAGATCCAGAGGGCTGCTCTGTGGATTCTGTTGTTGTTGCAATGTTGTTGTTGTTGCGATGGTGTTGTTGATGTTGTTGTTGATGTTGTAAGGTGGCCTCATTGGATTTGTTTGTATTCAATAAACTTTTACCACAACCAACATAAAAATAAGAAAAACATAAAATATGGATACAAATTACAAAATCACTAGATTCTTACTATAACAAAAAGTAAACAGAAAACAATGGGAAACTAAACAATAAAAACCTGACCATCACAACAGCATAACACAACAGCAACAAAAACTCTGATCAGCAATGCCATCACCTAAACAACTAAATGATGAAATGAAACACATTTTGAGAACGTTTGGTAACTGACTTGACGGATTTGATGGATGAAAATGTATCCAATAATTTGTTAATGATGGTTGGACGCAACTGCTCAAATCTGTATGTGAATATGTTTGTGTGTGTGTGGTGTGTGTGCGTGTGTGCGTGCGCGTTCCATCCATACAGTATGTTTGTCTGTGCGTGTGTTTGTGCACCTGTAAACATGTAGGTATGAGTTACAATAAAAAAAGCACAGTCGCTTTTAACAATTATAACAACTGTTTTTTACTCAATAAGCAGAAACACACATTCAGAAAATAAACTTAAATGAAATACTAAAGAACATACAAGCAACAAACATACAAAGACAAAAAACATACAACAGCAGCAGTCAACCTGTGGATCGCCTCCCTGACGAAGACCAGCACATCACATGCAGCCAACTCATTGTTGTCACTGAGGAATTCTATCAGCTGCATGCAAACATGTAAATGTGTTGTTGCATGCAATGTATTCAATGTTTCTTTTGCGGTTTCATATATTCACTTAATGCTTGTACATTCTTGTTTTGAAATACTGTGTTGTTAGTTTGTGCAGACTGACAGATCAGAACCGTGCTAAATTACTTTCAACGGCTCCGTAAATGCGTTTAAAAAGGTTTATCCATTAAACTAACCAATAAACTAAATTAATAACCAATCACATAACTAAATCAACAAAGAATGCAGCAACTAAATCCATCAATTGGTTCTACCCACTGATCAACCAACCAACCAATCAATTAACCAACCAACCAACCAATCAATTAACCAACCAACCAACCAACCAATCAAAAGCCAACTGAATGATCAAACAACCAACCAACCAGCCAACTGACTGATCAAACAACCAACCAGCCAATCAATCAACCAACCAGTCAACTGACTGACTGATCAAACAACTAACCAACCAACCAATCAACCAGCCAACTTACCATTGGTATAACAGTGGCAGCAACGTCTGGAAACTTGACACTGCACTGATGCAGAGTTCTGACCAACAACTGTCGATACTTACCTGAGTCCTCGTGCTCCGATGAACTGTTTGTCTTCATCACCTCCTTCTTAAGCACCAACACCATCTACACCCAGTGCAAGCATATTCCAATGACTAATACTAATAACAGTAAATGTATAAATTATTTTTACCTATTTTCAAATGTTTATTGATACATACAGACAAGAACAGCTGAATGAATTATTTTTAAACTTTTAGCTAATATCAATTAACAGAAAACTGCTCTTAAGAAAGAAAATACATAAATCCATGTATGAATACATGGGTATGTTTGTAATTGCATGTACGCTGATAATTATGATATGATTTAATGACATCATTGCAATGCAGTAACCTCATCAATTTATTATGGTTCTGTATTTTATGTGCATAAAAAATGCATCATTCATTCACTTTTACTTTCAGTTTTACTATATCTAATTACTCATTAAGTCACAAATCATCAAATTTATTTGCTTTATTAATTAAATTAATTAAGCTAATTAATATTAGACCAGAGACACAACATGATAATGGTAACAATATACAAAGATGGCGTGGATGACAGCACAACAATGACGGTGGCAAAATGTTGACAACAATACTGATGATGATGACACACAACATAACGACAGCACACCTCCTCAACATTCCTCGAAGACACAAGATCCAATGCCAGACTCAGCGTTTTCTTCCTCACCTCCAAGTCTGGAGCACCCAACACTCGGAGTATGTCCATTGCAAGTTCCTAAGTGCATGTTGGTGGTGACAGCAGTGATCAGAAAGACAGGCTACACAGAAGCAGCAATAAACCAACAACAGCACAGCAAACTGACAGACAGACAGCAGACTCAACACAGCACAACAGACAATAGAGCAGGTAGGAAGCAACAAACCTGAAGAACTTTCTCATGTGTAGGACTGTCCTTAAGCGAGATGAGTCGATCGAGGACAATTAATTTGACGTTGTTGTCACTCTCCTTCACTATCAACTCTATGTAACAGGTTGCTGCAGCCTGGTGGAGGTCAACCATAACTATCATCATCATCATGTTGTTAAATTCATTATCACCATTATGATCACATCATCAGCATCACCTTAGTGTCATTCTCATCTACAGTCACAGCCTCCATACACTAATATACAATTCATCACCACCTTGTTTATGAAAGTATTATAATGATACAATTATCGTTGGCTAGACTCATTTTCTAGATAGGGCAGTGAAATGTAACAGCACAAGACATCAGAACAACACAGCAATTGAACAACAACAACAGCAGAACAAGAAGAAGTCCCACCTTGATAGCAGTAGGAGCACTGGAGAGAGTGACCAGGGTACCTGCAGCTTCGTACCTGACAGCAGCACTCGAGGAGTTGAGCAGGTTGTATATGCACCTTATGAAACGGGTACGTTCCGATGGATTAGCATGGCACACCTGTCGTGTTTATTAGTTAGTTAGTTCGTTCATTAGTTTATCCATTCAAGTGAGTGGGTAGATGGAATAGTCATAAACAGTTGGAAACAGCCGATGAGGCTTGATACTAAGGTGTGAATGTGTTTGCCTGGGATGTCAATGTGTGTCTGTAATGTTATTTCAACAAACTCCATCAAATACTTTATTAAATCAACATTTTAAAAGACTGAACTAATAGGCTCATCCACTAAACAAAATAGTCAAAAAACGAACCCATCAGTTTATAAATTTCTATTCAGTCAACCAACCATCTATCAAGTCAACCAACCCACCTTCCAGCCGGCCTGTTTATCAACCAGCAAACAACAACCAACTACCCACCAACTACCCACCAACCAACCAACCCACCAACCAACCAACCAACCAACCAACCAACCTTATATATAAGTTCCACAATGACAAGCTGTAAGATATCACCAAATGTATGCACCTGGTCAATGCAGCTGCTCAGATAACTCAATGCCTTCTCCTGTTGACATGTAATATTTTATCTACAATTACTTTAACCTTCATAATTTCAATCATTTTTAAATATATTAAAATGTAAAATAACACGCACACACAAACAAACACACATACAAACACATACAGATAAACACACACACATGAACACAGACAGATAGACACATACATAAACAGGTGCACACATTAGCACATAGATCTAAACAAAGGTACGTAAACACCCATGACCACATTAACATACCTGGTCGGCATGTATGAGCATCATGAATGCGTTACGCTTGCACGAAGCATCGGCCTCACCCTCCAAGTACGTCGCTATCAACTCTGGGGCATCGGGCATCAAGAAATCAAAATTCCTTTGAAGTGACGGTGAATGTGCATCAAACTAATTTTATATAATTTATTGTTATTTTACATAAGATATTGTTGAATATTTCAAAAGATATGTGTTAAATATTTCAAAAACAGTCCAGTAATAACCAGCTGGTCACAAACATAGAAAATAGAAAATTTATAACGTAAATAAAAATAAGTTTAATAACCAAAAATAAGCTTGATTGAAAAGATAGTAGTTAAGATGATAATGATGAAAGCAATTAGAGACTTCAAAGCCCGAGGCTCACACGGTAAAGAGTTCCACACAAAAATGCAGAAAGAAAGAACTTCTATCCCCAAAGGATGTTTTAGTTTAAGAATTTCTGTTTCTCAAATTTATTGACTAAAATTTAGATAATCAGTTCATACAAAATATTTACAGTGAAAGTATAAATGATTGTGATCAGATAAAGGAGAGAACATAGAAACCTATAAATGGTGTAGATGGCAAGCACAGCATTCCTCCTGACATACGAGTGCCTGTGTTCAAGGCAAGCCTTGATTGGAGCCATCAATGGTTCAAGAAGTTCTGGCTCCTTCAATTTGCAAAGGAACCTCAATGTGGAACCTCTGATGAACTCATTTGGATGTTGAAGGTCCTGCATTATATTAGCGTTTGTAAAAGAATTAATTTACACAAGCATCGAGCATCTATATCCTCATAACCTAACTGCTAGTTGGTCAAACAAACCAATCAAACACCTAAGCAGATGATCAACCAGACAGTCACAGAAGCAGCTGACCAACTGACCTTTCTGTAAGCATCGCAGACGAGAATCATCTCCTGTAGCATCTTGCCATCACCAGAGTACTTAGGAACGATCTCCCAGAACACGAGTAGCAATTTTTTGATCATGTGGTCTTGCAGGGGCATGACAAATCTGATGACCGTCATCAGCAGTGACTGCATCTTATCACCGTTCAAGATCATCTGAATCAACTTCTTCAGGGCTTCTGTTTTCGTTCTTATATCTCCGTGCTCTGATAATTACAACATCCTATGTTAATCAATATCAACTATCTAATAATTAATTAATAATTAATAGAGATGATTTTATTAGAAATTCAGATAGCATAACTTAATGAAACAAAATCAATTGTGATGCAGTTTTTCAACTGATAACTGCTTTCATTACCTGAAGGATTTTATACGTTTAATGATGCAAAACTGTAGGTAACAAATCACCAGAGTGATGGTGGTGATTCATGCAACTGGATAAGTAAGACAGGAACATAATGAGCAGTCATTCAGAATGGGGATGGATAGGGTTAACTTGAAGAAAATTTAGCTACACAAAATACACTTTTCAAAGTATCTTAATACTCTTATAATATTACATTGACACAATAATAACTATAGTATAAAGGGAAGCATGAAACAAATGAAAGTAATTAGATAAGAAATAGCTTATGCACAGACCTGCCAACAAACCAATAACAAAAAACCAATCACACGACCAAACAACAAACTGATCAATTGAAGAACCAACCAACTGGCGGACAAATTAACCAACCTAAGTCCTGCTTGAGTTGCATCTCATTAGGCATGTCCGAATCATTGGGAATGTTTATGAGGGTGAAACACGGCTGGTCTACACTCACCATTGTTAGTAAATTATGTCCTGCTGGGTACCTTTTACTGAACTGCAAAACAAATAACAAATGAAACAATATTTCAAATTCAATTAAAAAAATTTTATATTTTTCGTGAAACATTCTTAAAAACATCAACAGAGCAAACCCAGGTTAACTAAAAAAAAATCATAATTGTCCATTTTTTCTTAGTTTAATCCATAATTAATATTTATAAATTCTTTCTGTCAAACAAGAAATAAACTAATAATGAATTTGTTACTGATTATGGATTTATAAATCATAATAAATCATAGTCAATCAATGAATCTTCGTTTTGCGTCCAGAGACCCGGTTCCCCGAGGTAGGACATATAATAATAATAAATCATAGAAATGGAGCAAATCTATTTTTTACAACTAACTTAAACTACCTTTTATAATAGATTGACAGATTATATAGTTAATTCAATAGTTTCAAGCCAATGTAATTTTAAACTACTGCCACTATGAAAATTAATTGCAAACTTCATCTTCTTGGCTACCACTACATTGTTATCAAAAATTCAAAATAAACATCCTAAAACTGAACAATTTACAAGCTCTAAGTATGTGCTCAGTTTATGGCTTGTTATAACAAATTAAGTTAGAAAAATATTAAATATTATTTATTACTTATGAACTAAAAGTGCAAGGCAAAGGATTTTTAAATCTTACCTTTTTAAAAATATTTATTTGTCGGCTTTCAAAATAATTATTTAATTTCTTATAAGTAATTCTTTTCTACTGTTTTTTTTTCATTTTATATAATTGTCTTGCATGTTATAATATAACAGATTCTTCAGCTGTCAGATTCTAATTTTTTAAATATAAAAAAAGAAAGACTAAATCTTTTTTTTATAAACTTTACCTTAAATTTTCTTTTTACTTGCATTTTTAATGCCATCAGATCACCTAATTTAAACCTGGCCAATAAACTAATTTATTTACCAGCAACCAGTTAGCCTTTAGTAAAGTAAATCTGTAATCGTAATGTATGCCTAGTAAGTAGTGTTATATATGTATCAGGTGACAAACTTATACTTATATGCCTGCACATTCAGTCAGTTCTGTTAGAACTAACAACAGGAAATCTGGCATGATAAGTAACAAAACCATAATGAGACTCAGAATCAGACTACAGACCATGAAGCAAAGATGAAAAGTTTAAGTTTAACAATTTTTAAAAAGTACATAAGACAGGAGCAAAATGGCAAAAAATTACATAAAAAATCAACATTATCAACTTCACAAAACGTCAGATGCGTGAGACCCACCTGCAAACGGATTTTACAAAATTACAAACAGCTCTTCAACAAACAATTTGATGAGAATTTTTTATTTTTTTTATTGAAGACGACAATTTAATCACTATTTTGTCAAAAATACGTGGCCACAGAATTGACAGATACCACGTGACCATAGATTTTCAATTTAATTTATAATAATTTCACTTTTGTTATTTCTACAACCGGTTTTGAACTAAACTTATAAAAGTTATTCGTTATAAGTCAACCGCAATACTGGATTCATTTTTAAATTAATACCGTTAAATAAAATAGTTATGATTCAAAAAAGTAAGAATTGAAGAAGGAACATGAATTTGGTCATCCTTTTGTGTTTTTTCACATCAAAAGAAAGAGATACCAAAAATGCAATTGAAAGACCATGAATTTTGATGTCGCTATAATAATCGGTTTGATTAGGGTTATTCTCCAAGTTAAATTGATGGAACATTAATAAATCTGATGTCATAATCGTGATTTTAAGGTCGCCTGGTTGGCCTACTGTTTCGCTATGTGCGTTGACCTTGTTCAATTATGACAAAAAAATCCACGCCTATAACATGCTTCATGTGTGATACGTCGTTTAGCACGTATTCACATACGCTGTTTGAGTACTGTCGATTCCTCTGAACCTAGGAAGAGTGTAGGGCTAATTGGCCTTTTACCTTTTTTAAAAACTACATTTCACAATTTCCATTAAAAGTTAATTTTCATAAAATATTTTTGAAAATTGATTTTTATTATATATAATCAATGGACCGGTCTTTGGCCGGCCAAACTGACAATTTTTTCAAATCTGACTCAAATCTGGATTTTTATTTCAACATGCATGTAGGTAGGTATACTTTACACGTATTTATACTTGCATCTGTGTTTGCATACGCACACGTATAGTTTGCTCAACCGCATTCTCTATATTTCTTTGTTTGCATGTTTCTGTTGTGTGCGACTAGCAGACATTTAAAAAATCATTCTCCGCTAGAAATGTCTGCACCAAAATGATGGTGCATAATAAAACAAAATCAAATTGTGTATTTTCATGTGAATTTTCGACTCGAGTTGTCCCGTCGGGATTTGGCACTACAGGCAATGTAGTAATAATATATTATAAAAATATATTAAAATTATAAAAAATATTTTATAAAAAGAGAGCCTCCTAATAAGGTGTGAATATTTTATCTTTTTTCTTTTCTAGACCATCAATTTTTCAGGTTTAACTTCACAAAATCTCAACGCCAAACGAAAATATTTACAAATCTGCATAGGTACTCTTATAAAAATGTTTCCCGTTTCAAAGGTTTTATTCAATATATAATTAATTAATTAATTAATATTAAATCTAAATATTTTTCCTCGATATCTACGGTTTTCAAACTAACAACATTAATCCCTGTTAACTTTTTCGAAATAAATTTTTATTTAGTCATGTGCACTCGGCACAAAAGTATTCAAATTACAAACTAATGTGAAAATTGAAGCGCCAAATCATTGCCCGTGTGCTGTTCAAATTAAATAGTACCATAGCTAGCATTCCCGTTTTATTCCCGCCAACTCGCTTAAACTGAAAGGAACTTGTTTCTCAAAAAATAAGTTCGTGTTATAATATTTGAAAATCTTAAAAATGTCCACAAAAGGCAAGAAAGGAAAAGATTTCAAGATGAAGCAAAAGTCCAGGTCATTCAGGTCGGGACTGGCCTTCCCCGTCGGCAGGGTGCACCGCCTCCTTAGGAAAGGTACCTTCTCATTTTATTACTTATGTCTTTTATGTTTCATTTACTACTAGTGGATTAATTATTTTGTATGTAACATTTTTTTCTGCGATTTTTTCACGTTTTGAGCTTTTGTAAAATTAGTTTATAATACATGTATGGAAAGTTATAAATTTTAAAATTGCACTTATAAATAACTAACTAACTAACTAAATAAATAAAATAAACTATAATGAATAAATTCACAATGCTTAGGGCTTCGTTATCTTATGGTTGTCTGGCTTGAAATTGTATGCAGGCTGATAAAAAGACAATTAAGTCATAAGTTATTTTACACTTGTAAATTATAATGTTCGCCAGTCGAGTTAATCTTGACAAGCGGTTCAGTCATTGTAATGATGTAGCAGCATGCTTACCACTCTGAGCATTTGCTGGCTATCAAGTTATGACACGAAGGTTTGTTTAACTTTATACTCATGGCGTTGAAATGAGTGCACAGAATTCTATTACGTACATATGCTGGCTCTCTAAGATAAAATAAATGTTGAAGAACACAATTGTCTCCCAAGCAATTTCGTTCAATACAAAATGTCCTTCAATTCAAAATGGTTTCATTACCCTATATAATTTCATATAAACTTTTAAAATTCATATTAACCTATATATTTTCACTTAACTCTGAATAACTTCATAATTAACCCAGTATAATTTCCAACAACCTTGCGCACTGCATTGCTTAACTCTCTATAGTTACAAAAGTGCAAATATTTTGTTTACTTTCTATACAATTCCACCGTACAGCGTCCCGTTTTTTATATTACGTTTGCTTCTTTCCTATTGTTTGAAATGTGTGAAATGTTTGAAATGTATTTAACACACGCACTATCGCTTTAAAATGTTCACAAAATATGCACCGTTTGTTGCAGGACATTACGCGGACAGAATGGGTTCAGGTGCTCCAGTGTACCTGGCTGCAGTTTTGGAGTACCTGACTGCAGAGATTTTGGAACTGGCCGGCAATGCGGCGCATGATAACAAGAAATCGAGGATCATTCCACGGCACATCCAGCTGGCTGTCAGGAATGATGACGAGTTGAACACTCTTTTCAATGGAGTGACAATTGCTCAGGGTGGAGTGCTGCCTCACATCGAAGCAAGTCTTCTCCCAAAGAAGACTAAAGTTCCCGGCCAGAACTCAAACGAGTCTCCGAGCAGGAAGACCTCTCAGAGTCAAGATTATTAAACTGCTCGACAGTTTTTTCCTTTGTTTTATTTTTGTGTAGTTTCAATTTTTTATCGTCGTAATTAATAATTAGCCTATGGTTTATTTATTCACGTAAAAGTATATACAATTTGTTTTTATGTTTATCCAATGTAGGAAATGACTGTATTGTGATAAATTGTATCATTCTTTAACAGTCGGGTCAGTCTGAAACGAGAAATATTTTGCTACAGTTAACTAAACATTTGAGTAAATTCAGTAAACCTTATTTATGCTTAAGTACATTCTGTAATATGAGACAATTTGATGCCAAAGGATTCAATACTCTCTAATAATTTTAACCAGCGGGAGGAGCAGGCGTCATTTAAAAATTGAAATTTGCGTCGTGTTGGTTTGTGCTGTGCAAGTACCTATTAAAATTTAAAAAAATATACAAATGCTTCTGTTGCGTGGCATCGATTTATTTGAAATTACGAGCATAAGTTAGTTATTGCAATCTGTGAACAGAGATTTTAGCTGAAAAATAAATGCTACTCAGCCAAATAAACATTTTAAAAATTTAAAGAATTGTATCAGACTAGCTTGATAAATAACATAGCTATCCAACTTGTACGATTACTTTTGGAACTTTTCAAACAGACAGGTTTAATGAGGTCGACACCATATCATCTGATTGGTCTTGTTAATCGTGAGCAGTTAAGACTCAACGCACCTTTCAACTTACACGACTTTGCAGAATTTATCAAGATAACAATTGTTCCAGACGTTCATCAGAATAACAGAGTGATCGATATACCTGGAACGTGATTGATGAGCCTGGAATGAGCTTTTCAAGTAGACGAAACCATTTCAGCATCAGCAGTTTATCGGTTATAAGTTCATTCAACTCTACTATTTATTTGCGTTTTCAAGGCTTACATTCAACAAAACAGTTCAGATAAACAATTTTTGCTAGTGGGCGATTCATGTTGCGTTATACGTTGTTATTGCGTGCTGACACGAACGCGGTTCGAATACCATCTGTGCTAATGAAAAACTATATAAATTTCACACAACGACAACAACAATTCGTACAAGAGTCTTAACTACTGTATGGCGACGGAACGCCAGTATACATTATATAAAATACTAACAAAGGTTTAAAATATAAAAATATCCAACTTCATTCTCAATCAATCAATTAGCTTATAAAACGCTATTTCCGCGATGTTCAACAGCACTCCTTAATGAATTTTGAAAACAGATGGGTCTTGAGATCCGCTCTGAACTTCGCAAGTGATGGAGAAGTAGTCAGAGAAGTAGGTAGAGAGTTCCAGAGAAAAGGACCAGAAAAAGCAAAAGCAGATTTGGCAAAAGAGTGTTTAACACGAGTTAAGATAAAGCGAGAACAAGAAGACGATCGTACGAACTGTGCTAACTACATTCAGAGCCCGGACGAACGCAATGATCAGTACTGCTGCTTCGATGCTTACAACGTGCATCGCCTCACTCATGCTTTTTTCAATTGGAATTTTGAATTGTTTGATTTGGCACACAAATTTTTATTTGTTATTATTAATGCCATAAAAAATAAATTATTCCCTTGTTAACTATGTCTTAGCTACTTTAAATCATGGGGAAAACAAGCATGTTTTCAAGCAGCTTAAAATATAACCTATAATTTAACTTTTCAATTTTAACATTCATTTTGTGCTAGAAACTATCAATAAAATCAATTTATTTGGTCCCTAATTTTTCAAATTCATTTATAAAAAAATTTATAAAAAAAGTTTTTACGTCGTAGATATTTAAGTAATTAAAAAAAAATTTTACTTGCCTCGCTTTAAATAACGACGAGTCTTTTGCGAGTTTGTTCAAATCGAGTTAATCAAATATTTTATGTTCAATGAATAAAAAAGCTAAAAAGAGGTTCCTATTTTTGGTTTTAACTTCAATAAAATCCACTAAACATTGTGTAATTCTCATGTCTGAGTTTAAAAAGTTTCTGATGAGTTTGAATGAAAACGTTGATAAATTTTTGGTTAATAAATGCCATCTATAGGCCTAACGTAAAGTAGTAAAAGTGCATTCAATTTTAAATAGTCTTTATAATTTGCATTGATCAATAGCTCCTAAAACTTTAAACCTTAATTATTTTTATATTATTTTTATATTTCAAACACCAAATAATATTAGGCCGTCCAATTTAAAATACGATAACTTGGCTGGCTTGTATAATAAATATTTATTGCTGTCTGCACCCATCGATAATTAAGCTGACCATAGCCATGAGCGCCTTTGGTTTAGAAGCACGATTCCCACAAAACGTTGTTGAGGTGTCTGCAAGTATGCTTGCTAGATGAGGCAGAATCTCGCTGCTTGAACTGTTGATGTCGAGCGGTGACATATCATCGTCGTTTGGGCTGATTGTTGCTGTTAAATGAACACTCCTTGACCATGGCGTGCTCTGGCCACGAACTGGCGGCAGTTACATCTGAATATCTGGCATCTATGCAATCGACTCTTACCAACAAGATAATACATATATAAATTACCCATAATCTATTAATGTTTTACGTACAATTTCAAATTTGATTGAGCATTATTTTTAATTAGAGAAATAATTGCCTTCAGTTCATCATCACCACAACCTCGCCAGGCTCATATGATTCCCAGCCCTGCAGCACAAATTTGGACGCACGCGTGTTTGGCGCCTTCGCACCAGTAGTTGCGATTGCGACCACCATGTCCAGAGAAACAAAATTGAAATTAAGTCAACTAGAGAAATAAATTTGAAACATTAGTTACTTTCTGCTAAACTTTAAGGGGTCGACGAAGGCTTATTAAGTTGATTTTTTTTCGTTTTAAACCAAACAATGCAGCTATCATACATGAATCGAACGTTTGTAAATTTATTCCATGTTAAAAGTGAATCAAACATCCTGCTGATGAATGTTTTTCATGTTAAAGCAAAAAGAAAGAGAAATATTAAATAATTTTTACGATCCAGATTACGTAAAATAATAATCGCTATATGAACAAACACCCGATATATTATGACATTAATGTTATAAATAACCAACAGCAAAGAGAACAAAAATAAATTTAGCTCGTAATTTAAACACATTAAAATAAAATGTAAATGGGAGTTTCTATTGATTAATGTCCGTGAATGAAGATGGCATTTATATAGCACATGCGTGTTCGGAGTACGGACACCTTGCAAACAACATATACCTACATTGATGCACAGTTATTGCACACACACATGCACACACACATACATACATACACACACACACACACAAAGCACGATCGTATGCATATTCAAATTACGTGCAAGTACACACGTGGACATGCACAATGATTTTATATTAAAATTATTACTTTGAGAGAGTTAATGTTTCACATCCACAGCTGTTAAATATTTCGTTAAGTTTAAAAAGTTTTGAAAAATAAATAAGAGAGCACGGTTAGAAGATGAGAACGTTCGCTGATGTGCACATCTCTAACGACAATCGTTATCGGCCATGGTCATTTATACCGATAACACAACATTATAACGATGATGATATTTTGATATTCCGGTCGTATTGTAATGATATCATATCATGATATACAGAAATGATATCTATCTATCTTATTACCCGGTCGCATAATACAAAAAGCATCATATGCATCACCATCATTAACATCACCACCGCCTTAATCATCATCATCATCGCCAATTCTTGCAACATAACACGTTTGTTAATTAGATGGAAAAAATAAATACAAATCTATATTTAAAACCAAACATACAGACGAACTTCAAAATACAAAACTACAGACAAACAGACAGACAGACAGACACACATACAGAGACACGTATATTAATTATGCTTGGTTGATAGAATTTAAAAACTAAGTACAAGTCCTCATCATCGCTCAGGTCGCATGCATGCATGCGTACATGCATGCATGCGTCCATACATGCATGCGTCCATACATGCATGCGTCCATACATGCATGCGTCCATACATGCATTCGTCTATACATGCATGCGTAGAAGGCACGATCAACAAAATTTAACGTTTACAGAAAAAAAAAAAAAAAATTTATTTGTGATTGAAACGACGACGACTATGGTAGATAATAATAGTAATAATAACAATAATAATAACAGTAGTAATAATAATAACAATAACGAATAAAATAATGAATGAATAATGAATTTTAAATGAATCGTAGTGGGCTTGACGATGATGGTGAATCTGAACAATAATACTTGCGATATGAAGGCTCCGATGAAAAGTTGTTTGGAAGAGATTAATTTTAAAAGTTTGAAAAAAATTGTGCGGTGGTGAATTAATTTGGAATAAGTCAAAAAATACGTTGCGATGCCCAGGGCCGAGGGCTGTTATTAATCACGATTTGTTATTAAATAAATTTTTTTAATTAATGTAATAGATTTAAATTTTTCAAAAATACTTCACAAATTATCAGTATGACTGACTGAATGAAACTAATTAATAAACTGAGGAAAAAAAAACATGAATGGGTGAAAGTTCTTAGTGCCAACTCAGTGACGTGATGACGTCTTTCACGATTGTCTTATTACATGATGATAAAAAAGTGATCAGAAAAGAAACTTCAGTGATGATTTGCGACGATAAATTACAATAACGATGATGAAACAAAAGAAAAATGTAATTTTAGGCTGTCCATATTATTTGTGAAAAGGTGATATACAGAATCCATTATAAGCTAAAAACCAAATGAACAATGATAGCTATCAACAAATTTCTAACATCTCCAATCTAATCTCGTCCTAAAGTGAGAACAAGCATCGATCGATCAATCAATCGATCGATCGATCGATCAATCGATCGATCAATCAATCAATCAATCAATCAATCAATCAATCAATCAATCAATCAATCAATCAATCAATCAATCAATCAATCAATCAATCAATCAATCAATCAATCAATCAATCAATCAATCAATCAATCAATCAATCAATCAATCAATCAATCAACCAATCAATCAATCAATCAATCAACCAATCAATCAATCGACCGATCAATCAATCAATTAACCGATCAACCAATCAATCAGTCGGTGATGGGGTACTTGACGAGGTACTCCTCTCCCTTGCGAATGTTTTTCTGCAGTTCAGGGATGGCATGTTTGATGAGGTTCACCTCAAATTCGATTGTCTTGCCCACGCCAAAGTTCTTTTCGATACCATTTTTCTGCGAGTTGATAGTGCATCATCGGCATTTTAACGATACATTATCATTGTTATATCAACATTATCGAATTATATACTATCGATCTTATCATATGGACGCTGCCAACAACGCGATGCTTCCGGGTTCGTACAAAGCCTATGTTGGTCCTACGGTGGGGTGTTTACCGACACTTTAGCTCAAAAGTTGAATTCCAGCTAAATAAGTAAGAACTGATTTGTGTTCAACCTTTGGAGATTTCAAGTTTAAACTGAAAACTTATTTAAATTGTTTGTCGTGATTGGTATACATGCAATTTTGTTACGATTTTTGTTTGCTGCATGTGTTTTTATTTATAATTTCGTTGAATCTATGAGAAATTTTCTATTTTTTTTCTGTTTTGCATATGTTTCGTTTGTCCAACTTGAACAAGGGCTATGCTTTTTTGGGTATCCTTTTCGTTTTTTTTTTCATAAATAAACCTGTTGAAAAAAACCAGTTTTGCATTCGTCAGAACTGCATAATGAAGAAAGCACACGTTTAAAACTCAGTGGCACGATTGGTGATCATTATAAGCTCTTTAACCAGTGGTTTCAGTTAACGCATTGCAACAACAACTTCGTCGTCAACCAGAGTTTCTTGAAGAGTTAACATTTCAACAAATTTCATTCAGTGTTTTCATAGAGTTCTTTTTATTTTGTTAACTGTTTGGAACTGTTAAAATAAAATATTCATAAACTGTCCTCCGGTTGCACGTGTTATTTATTAAATTGATAAGATTTTAAAGACATTTAAGACAAACCCTGACATATGTTTTGCAGGGAGTTTCATTCTGACTTTTTGGAATCGAGGTTTGGATGACATCGGCAATTGTCAGGTGCAAAATATTATATTTTTATGAATCAAGTGATGGACAGTTGCAATAAAAGATTTACAATGCCATCATTCAAATATGATGATTTAAATTTCAATGAGGTAAAACAAAAATTTTCAAAACCCGGAATCACAGGAAATTATGAAATGGCAAGTGTCATCGCCGATGAGTTCAGGTACATATATGAACCACACCAATAAATGTTAGATTCTTTTTATGATAATCCTTCAAAGAATCGATCTACAGTGTCAAAGGTTGATATAACGTATAGTGAAGCGCCATCCGACGAGAAGATTTGTCATCGATTGCAAGAGAACGAGAGAAATTAACGTCTGACTACTGTTGTTCATTGTACAATAAAAGCTGTTCCCGTTCTATAATGGTCTTTTAAAAATTGTGAACTCACGCGATACGATAGCATACGAATTAGAGATGCGAAACGTAACATTGGTGTCAGAAGCGAGATTTCTAAGAGAACTCAAAGATGTCAGAACAGAATGAAACAACAAATAACAGACGCGTCACTCGTTCACACAGCCAACCACAAAAAGAAGACCACTCGCAAGAAGACATTGGCGGAAACAACAACGAAGAAGAAATCATCACTAGCGATGCAATCGCCAAATGTGAACAAACCAACATGATGCAGCAGTTCGAGAGGATGGTGCAAATGATGATGGCCAAAATGGATGCACAATCGGTTAAAACAAAAGAACAATTGGCCAAAATGGATGCACAATCGGCCAAATTAGAAGAACAATCGGCCAAAATAATAGAGGAACAATTGGCCAAAATGGCAGAACAATCGATCATAATAAGAGACGAAATAAAAAATATTATAGTCGAATTAAAAAAACAATTCGAAAAAATCAACAATAAAATAAAACAGCAGTCACGGAAGACAGAAGAAATAAAAAAAGTAACTCGACAAAATCGAGTTACAAACAGCAACGCTGAACGAAAGAGTCGACGAACTGGAAAGAAGACACAAAAAAGAATTAGATAAAATATCTCAAGAGCTGGCAGATAAAAACAAGAACGGGACACCCAATCGCGTATCTGCAAAAACGGTGAAAGCGCCGACATTCGATGGCATAATCCCTTGGGAGAGCTATCGAACCCAGTTCGAGGCAGTGGCACTTAGCTATTCACGAGACGACAAAGAACGAGCCACTACATTGGTACTGGCACTCCGAGGATCAGCACTGGAGGTGCTGCAAGCAAAACCAGTCAAGGACAGAAAAAATTTCGAGTCATTAACAGCTGCACTGACACGACGTTTTGGCAATAGCTACACCGAAAATTTTTTCCTCGACGCAACTAGAACACCGAGTCCAGAAATCCGGGGAAACTGCACAACAACTGGCCCAGGACGTGGAAAGGTTGACGCTGTTAGCTTACCCGACCGGAACCCCAGGATTCAGGGACAAGTTAGCGACCAAAGCATTCATCCAAGCGCTACGGGACCCAGAGACCAAATACGAGTTGGCGATCTCAAAGGAGAAGACCCTACAAAGTACCTTTGAAAGATATACGACGCTGGAATCGGCAAAACTGATGCTGAGAAAAGATTTAAAAATAAGACAAATTCATGAGGAAGTAGATTGTCGAAAGATGGAAACGGCCCCGGGTACCTACCCCACTCTGGAGTGTTGGAACTGTGGAAAAAAAGGGCACATTCGAAGATACTGTCGACAACCACAGAAAAAGGCAATTATGGAGACAATAGAGGAAGCAAAAGCAAAGATGAACCAGCCGATAAAAGCGCCGACGGCCGAAACGTCGGAAAACTAGAGAAGGCCAGCCTTGCGGGGCACGGACTGGCTATGAAAACCCAAATCTCTAAAAAAGAATAATCACCGTGAGAAGGCTGCACCGCAAAGGAAGCAACCACAGCAACGCCGAGGCCTTATCCCGTCGACCGTGCCCACCAGACTGCAAGTACTGTTGTCGACTAGAAAAAAATGAACAGTCGGAAGAGGTGAGGGACATTCGCCTCATGACAGAAAACGGATGGACTCCTGAGGAACTGGCCGCTGCGCAACGCACTAACGAAGACTGGCAGTATGTCATCAAATGGAAGGAGGCAGGACCAAGGCTAAGGTGGCAGGACGTTGCGGAATACGACCCCATAACCAAGGAGTATTGAGCCTAATGGGATTCTCTGCATATGGAAAACTGGTTCCTGGAACGGAAATGAGAGTCCACCGACGGAACAAAACATACGATGCAGACAATAATACCCCGAAGCAAGACAGAAGACGTTACTGAATAAATGCATGGACAGCCGACTGGAGGACACCTGGGAGTCAATAAAACCTTGGACCGGTTACGGACAAAGTTCTATTGGGTTCGCGCACGACAAGACGTGGAAGTATGGTGCAGGCAATGCACCACCTGTGCTGCGGTTAAAAGACCCAAAAACAAAGTCAGAAGCCCGCTCCATGTTTACAACGTGGGAGCACCATTTGAACGGATTGCAGTGGACATTGCAGGCCCCTACCCAGTATGCTCGTCGTAGCACATTATTTCAGCAAGTGGCCAGCAGTCTATCCGATACCCAACCAGGAGGCCCAGACGATAGCGGAAAAAATCATAGCCAACTGGGTTACTCAATTCGAAGTTCCTTTAGAACTACATTCGGACCAAGGTAGGAACTTTGAATCCCAGATAGTGGGAGAAATGTGCCGAATCCTTGGAATTAACAAAACAAGAACGAAACCACTTCACCCACAATCTGACGGGATGGTTTAACGGCTCAACCAAACCATCATACAGCATTTGGCCGAGGTAGTCGACAACCAACGGGATTGGGACAAACACATCCCCTTGTTTCTAATAGCATACAGAAGTACCGTCCACGCCATGACCAACGAGACTCCCTCAGGGATTCTATTAGAGGACACCATACGGAAACCTGCAGACAAACTGTTCAATGATCCTTCAAAGAGTCGATCTACAGTGTCAAAGGTTGATATAGCGTATAGTGAAGCGCCATCCGACGAGAAGATTTGTCATCGATTGCAAAGAGAACGAGAGAAATTAACGTCTGACTACTGTTGTTCATTGTACAATAAAAGCTGTTCCCGTTCTATAAAGGTCTTTTAGAAATTATGAACTCGCGCGATAAGTAGCTTACGAATTAGAGATTCGAATCGTAATAATTTAACTCTTCATCTTTATTAAAATGTGATATATATACATATAACACTTATTCTTGTATATATATATTTATATATAAATATTTGTTTATTTGTTCATAAAATTACGATTACTTATATTTCATTTCAGTGCAATTATTCTATTATTTTTATTTATAACATAATTAATTAAATTTTTAACTTTTATTTGTAATCTGTGAAAGTTCTACTTCATTTTTCATTACTTGACATATTGATTTTGTGAGTAGTTAAAATTTTATGCAAATAAAAATCAATCATACATAGCTACAGTGTGTATTTAGCATGAAACGCATGGCCCAGTTTGGGCTAAGCATGCATTTTAGTTTCTCGTCCATTAGCTAACATATCGCAGTCCATGTGCCAATCTGAAATCTTATAACAAACATAATTTCCAAGCAAACACATACCGAAATACAATCACTGTAAATTGTAAATGATGTAACAAATCAAATCAGATGAAACAATTAATAACCAGCCAGCTGATCATGATCAAAAATTGTAAACAATATTTTTGTATTGATTACATGCAGCTTGAACTGGCTAAACGTGTGTTTGCTGCATGTGTTTTTGTGGTCTTTCGGTATGTATGCATGCATGCGTGCATGTTTATGTCGGCGTGTATGGATTTGTATAAGTAGATGCTTGTGCGTGTGTCTGTTGCGTGTATGCCGGTGCGTATGCATGCATGTTTGTTTGTAAGCATGCGTGTGTGTATGCGTGGATGCATGTGTGCGTGTGAGCCGTGCGTACAGAACATAGATCAGGTGATGGTAATGGTGTATTAGTAGATGTTAACCAATTCTACGATGATCATAACATCTAAACTGTATTTGAATGACCCAAAAGAACATCAACATCACCTTGGAATATCAACCGTAAAAACCTTTCAAAACAGAAGTTGCACCAACTGCAAACAAACCTGATTACGTTAGCCACACAGAGCTCTGAACAGCAGAAGCATTAAAATAACGCGACCGACGATTCAAATAACGATGGTAACTTTTCAAACATCGTGTAAATATTGTTACAATACTCGCTGTCGTAACCGATTTACAATGCGACGGGTTCAAATCTTCGATTGAATAAAATACTCCAAACAGTTATTAGTTATTAAACTTTATTTACAGAAGAAATCAACTAATCGTTTATTTCTAGCAAATTCAAATTAACGCAACAATTAACTTTTAAATTGTTTAAAATCTATCGCTATGACAACGTCAACAAACAAATCAAATATCGCTTTAAATAATTCACCGAATCGCTATTCACGAGATCACAAAATCACGAATTTCACTAATCACGGATTTCACTAATCGCTTGCGACGTGCGCTTTTATACTCTCGCAAGCGTCATTTCTAGATTCTTCTCGATGGTCCGATTCTAGCATACTCTAGAATGCTCCAGTCACTAGAGCATTCTAGAATACGCTAGAATCTAGTGCGTTCGGTAGCACGGTTATAACAATATTAATTGGACAGATGTTCGAGCACATATATAAACAATTGCTAATTGCAATATATAATTATGTTCAATGATAATTCCTGCAAACACAGGATTCTTTTTAGATTGAAATATTGAAACATAAACAATGAGAAAATATTTGCATACATTCACAGCTTGTTATCTGCTACATTTTTAACATTAATTGTTAATCCTCCTCTCCATGCTCTTTTCAAATTTGTACCAACGACTCAGTTTGAACAAAATTTATTTGCATCCAAGAGCTGTCAAACCATTGGTCAGTCGGTCAGTCAATGAATTCTTTAGTTAAGTTATTTAGTGATGTAAACATATTAAGTCATTGGTTTTTCTGTTTTTCGTTTCTTGTCATTACTTTTTAAATTTAATAATACTGAACCATTTACTGCCCGTTTTGCTTTTTCTCCTGACGCCACTTAGGATTTTTTGCACTTCATGCTTTTAAAATATATTCCCAGGAGTTTGTATTAATTTTTTTGCATTGTTTTCCCTTTTCTAATCATTTCAATCATTAAATTGTCGTATTAATCCCTGCATGTTCTGCTAATCTCTGCGCTTGTCAAAGTTTGATTTGATTATTATTTTGAATATAATAATAATAATAATAATTATTATTATTATTATTAAAATTAATATACTTATATGATTTTTTTTTCTAACAAACCATCAGCGTCAATAACACAGCAAGCCACAAGTACGAATCATTCAAACTTCCTTCCTTATACAATAAAAATTTTCTTGAAAACTTTCGTTAAATTTGGTGAACCAAAACTGTTCTAAAAATTGCTAGCGAAACCGAAATATAATTTATTGAATTTTTTCTTCACGACCAATTTGCTGCTATGATTAGATATGCCCACTGTTCAAGTGTTCCCCGTTCTTCAACATCGGAACATGATTTAAAATGATTCATTAATAACATCAATACAAATTAATTGGACTGTTAATAGCATTAACGTTATTTAATGTGGTTGCTAACAACATTAAGGCTATTTTATGTAGATAATATTAAGGCTCGTCTAAAAAACTTCCCATTCGATGAGTTTTATCAAACCATTTCATTAATCATATTTGTGTCATAAAACATTAAACAATTTCACCAAAAACCAACCAGCAAACCAACCAGCTAACTAACTGACCAAATCACCCAACAAACCCCAAGAAGAATAGGAGTAGCAAAATATTTGGCCTCAGTCTCATCAGATCTGACGTAGGCACACTCCACAATTCCTGTCTCACCTTCCAAGGCTTCCAACAAAGAACTCACGAACTGGTTGCCTGCATAGGCCATGGACAGCGTAGCAGATCCCTGGATGAACATTTTGCGTTTTAAGAACATTTGCAACCACATGTGAACATAATTGAACGTATTCAGACATTTGAACGCGTGTGAACATAAACATTTGAGTATAAATAAACAATATATATGAACCGGTAAACAAAAAACACCTAAACTCAACCGGTGCAGTACTGATCAAAAAATTCAATGATTCATGAACTCTAACATAACCACAATAGACAAAACAACAGGACGAACTAATGTCAAAATTTACTTTTCCAATTGTAGATCAAACCCCGCACAGCAACTCGCGCACCACACAACACACACCAACAACTTGCACCACCCCAATCACCGCCAACTAACATTGCCTGCCTTGGCTTCAACCACTTCTGTACCGGCTTTCTGAATCCTCGTCGTCATTGCCACTCTTTCATCCTGCAATCATTTGTCGTCCGATCGGTTGGTCATTTGGTTGGTTGGTTATTCAATCAATAGATTGATCAATTGATTGACTGGTCATTTGATATTTTGATCGATTAATTAATTGATTGATGATCATTTAATTGATCGGTTGGCAATTTGACTAATATTCATTTGACTGATAACTTAAACGATCAAGTTTTTGAAACGCCCACACACTTGGTGATATGAAATGAATTCATGATTTGAAAAATTGTGAATGAAAGAATAGTTGAATGAATGAATGAATGAATGAATGAATGAATGAATGAATATGAATGAATGAATGAATGAATGAATGAATGAATGAATTGATGCATGCACTAACAGCTGTAGTAACCATTGGAGTAATAGCCGCACTCCATTAAACATTGAAATATGAATGTAATAAAAAATAATAAGCGAATAGAAGGATTAGCAATTGAAAAGTATAATGTAACCAAGACATAACAATAAATAATAATAATAATAATAATATAAGAAAGACGCAATATTATATCAAGGTAAATTATTATAAAAGTAAATATGATAAAGTAACAGACATGTGGGAATGACACGAAAGGTTGGCACTGAGAGATGAGGGGTACGATGGTCACTCCCGAATGTCCACCAACAACCGGACAGTTCACGTCGTGGGCCTTCATGCCCTGTGGTGGAGTGAAAATTTTAAGGGGGCGGTCGATAACAACATCATCTATAACAACAACAACATCATTAACAGCAATAACAACAACAACAAAACATTATAAATAGCAAAACAATGCAAAGCTGCAACTAGGTGACATCATCAAACACAATGAATCATTACAAACAACAACAACAACAAAAACAACAAAAAGATTTCTATTTGCTCGTTCATTCGCAATAATAGCACCTTTCTACGTGACTGCTACTCATCTAGGCCAACGCAATTGCTAGCCCCATCAACGACATCTATCACATCAACATAAACACGAATAACAACGACAACAAAACACAATAATAACAACAAAACACAGCAATAACAACAACAACACAACAACAACAACGATTTCGACAGCTAAAATAAATAAACATCTCAAAGTTACTAAACAACGAGCAACAGAAGTATTAAAACAACTGCATATAGACGCACCGGACAGCAAAGAAAAATTACATTTTTTTATTTATTTTTTTTTTTTATTTAACACAACTGACCAGAGGGCCCAACGGACCACTTACCCAATCAGGAAGAGAAAAAGAAATGTTATAAAGTTAGGCAATTGGTGGACAGACGAAAAAGTCAACACACAAAAAAAAAAAAAACAAAATAAGAAAATATTAAACATAAATTTGCATAGTTATTTAAAGATAAACTGCTACTGAATGGATGGAAAAATCGTTGATGCTCTTTTTTGTTTAACGAACAAATATATGTTAAACAAACGCATTGATTCAAAAGTGCACTGAACAAAGCAACAGAACAACGAATGAGCATCAGACAACAAACAAAAGAACAAACAAACAGAAGAACAAACAAACAAAAGAACAAACATACAGATGAACTCACAAACAAAAGAACAAACAAAAGAACAAACAAACACATGAACAAACAGCAACAAAAGTTAACACAACGCAATATAGTAACGATAATCGAGTTTTCTCTTTTATTACATTAACTCGACGACACAACGTTAATGAAAACGTGTGAATGAACTCGTTGTACAATTTACTGCGCATGACATCCTTGAAATAAATCGAACCCGGTCGTCGTAGCGAAGAAGCAGGCGCCTCTAACCATTACACCATCTCACCTCCCAACATACATAGTACAAACACAACACAAACACGAACACGAAAACAACATAAACACATCAAAACATAACACAACAAAACACAACACAAACACAGCACAACACAACACAACACAAACACAAAGTAAAACAACGCATCAAAACACAGCACACACAACACAAACACAACACAAACACAACACATCAAAACACAACCCAAACACAGCCTGCCAGTCAATCAGCACCTTGGCTTGAGCGATGAACGTACTAGCCCTGACGACATCAAGCGTCGTCACTCCGAATATGCGGTTGGGGTCGTAGACGCCCCTGTACTTGAACACCTCACTTGCTATCGGCACTGTTGAGTTGATCTGCCATCATGGTGGGGAGCGTCATGTGACAATGATGATGTGTTGCTGGGTGTTGGTGGTGATGTGGCGATGGTGAAGAAAAACACAAACACAACACAACTCGAGGATGGCGGAGTAATTAATGATGGTGACGAGTCGGCGATGATGACAAGGTGAGTGAGATTTGTAGGGATGATGGAGAAAATGATAATTTTGAAGGAATAAAATAACACAACAACAACACAACGACAACACAGCACAACAACAACACAACAACGTAGAACAGCGTCACAGATGTAACAAACAGGATCGGTGATGATGCACAGGATAGCACCAGGACTGAACTTGGCGACTGCATCAGCGAGATGCCTCACCACAGCAGCGTTCGTTTGGAATAAGTCATCCCTCGTCATTCCTAGGTGGTTGTGTCATTGTTCAGTTCATCAGAGAGAATGTTTGTTTGTATCCATGCATGTTTGAGTTGGTCTGCCATGTATGCATGCATGCATGCGTGTGTATGCATGCATGCATGCGTGTGTATGTATGCATGCATGCGTGTGTATGTATGCATGCATGCGTGTGTATGTATGCATGCTGTTTTTTATACAAATGCAAGCGTTGTAACATGCCGGCGATGTGAAAAAAGTATATAGATTGTTTTTTAATTTAATTCATGTACTCGTGTAAGCGGTTTCAATTCATTTTGTTTGCCAAACATTCTGCTAGCACGAATATTAATGTCCTGTAAATATTCAAAGTAGTGTTTGTATGAAATATAAGGACACTTCTTTTGACTGTCTGATGTGCGGCGATCTACAGCTTCACTGACGAAAGAAAGAAACAGCAATCACGACAAAAAAGAATGTAACGAGAAGAGCACGACGAATAATAACGCAACAACAACAACAGCAGCTGCTGCAACAGCAGCAGCAGCAGCAACAACAACAATAAAAGCAGCAACAACAACAACGATTATATCATTTATGTTGGTTTGTCTTGAAACTTCTACACAACTAATCACATTTACGAATGTTGCAAATCCTGCTATCAACGAGAAACGAAAGTGTGCGAGGAGGCAGAGACTAAATTAACTATAAATAAATAGTTGCACATTTTTATTCACTAAGTTTTTGGATCGCATTTTTTAGTCTGCTCTCTCGCGTGTTCGTTCAGTCGAAACTACATACATGTTGAAAGTAAAAGCGTGCGTGCAATGCTGCTTAAAAAACGCGCCGCTGAAAACGAGTTGAATATTTCCTGTTTGTGTAACAAAATTAAACAATTGAAAAAGACATTTGGACGGCATCCAAATAAAGTTGAAATAAATGTGATACAGTTGTAAAAATGTGTGAATGTATATTGCCAGCATGATACATGTGAGCTCATTTTGATAGAGATACCATTAGGCAGCTACAGGCAAGATTGAAATGTTTAGAAGCCAAGGTCCAAATAAGCAAGTCTTCTCAAAATGTACCAGACCCAATATTTAAACGTGTGTTCGTGTGTGTGTGTGTGTGTGTGTGTGTGTGTGTGTGTGTGTGTGATGATGTGATATAGTGATGTATCTTCTATGAGCAGCCACTGAAAATACTTTAAATATTATTTTCAATCCTTTCTCACTACTTCTTGATCTTTATATAACAGCAACAACTACTACTGCTACTGCTACTACTAATAATAATAATAACAACAACAATAATATTAATAATAATAAATATAATAATAACAACAGCAACAATAACAAACAATAATCGAGCAAATTAGAACAGGACTGCAGACATAATCACACTAGAATATTATGCAAATTGTTTGTTATTAATTAGTTAATTAATTAATTATTAATTAAGTAAATAAAGATATATGGTTATTATTAATTAATAATAATTGATTAATAATAGCAATAAATAAAAATGGCTGACAGATTAGGATATGTGCACACAAACACACACACTACACACACTCATACAGACACACACATGAAGTAAATTTCAACCGGACACCCAGGAACCAATTAGAGTCTGAGATTGCAATTGTTTTGATTTACTTTTAAACTTCCATAGAATAAGCAACAATTATTATTATATAATTTTTTGCAAATAAATAAAAATAATAATAATAAAAAAGAAGCTACAATGACAACATTGATACCATCAAACACACGCAACATATAAACATAAGAAACAACGGTGATGAATAAGAACGACAGACTTAAGCCCTAACTATACATCACATGCAACCAAGCAGCCCAGCAACCAGCCAACCAAATCA